GAGTCCATATTGGCAAAGCCCTACAACTTCCAAAAAAAATTCTCTCTCAACTTCTAACTTCCAAGCCTCTACTTAACGGCCCAACATGAAGATCTGACAAGATCTTTTTTAAAGATAAGTTATGTAGAGAGCCGCCAGATATGTCCCTGTGGTAGGAGTTTTTGTTCATGACACGTATCTTCGTAGGCCATAACAAGATCGTTGTCCATGTTGTCACTGATACTTTATTGCTCCAAATATTCGAGGTTTTCCTTTACAATGAATATTCTTTTCAGTACTTGTTCTTGTCTTCGGTAGCATGCAGTAGGCCGATTTCGAGTTCGGCTGATAAGTCCAATGACATATACAACTTATGCTTTCTACCTGAGCTGATACACAGATCTCTGTCGTTAAGATCAAGTGGTGATTTAAAGTTGCTAATCAGTTCGGATGCGAGATTAAGCATTTTGGAGATGGTACAAGTGACATTTGCTTGAGGTCTGAAAGCTTCTGCATTAGATTTGGAAGTAATTCATGCTTGTGCTTCGATACAGGACGGACGTAGTTCAAGAAATTATTCTTGTAGACTTTCCAGTGAAGACACGGAAATCGACAGTTTTTGAGCTCAATAAAGCAACAACCTTCGGCATTTTAGTGCAAAGATATTTTGCCGGCGAATTTAACAGTTGTACACGACCTTCGCAGGGTTTTACAAAATCTTGATTTCTGTGTACGTCCTAACCATGCAGGAATTTCACCAGCCTGGGTTCGTAGCAGGTTTGTCTGCTGTCCTCGAATCTGCATGCGGAGATAAACGTAAACTCCAATACCTGGTGACATATTTCTGACAGCCATTATTGGTTATCTAACAGAATAAGAACTTCCTTCAAGCGTATAAAACTCCGACTGACGGAAATATTTGACGATTCAATGATTGAAAAGGCGCACACTCGGAGCTCGTTACAAACACACGTGCATTCGAATTCCAGCTGCAGTCCATCGAAGGTGGGCCAGAATGCGGTCAATCTCCACTGTGTGAAGTGGCATCATGCTGGATACGTCGTTCCAACCTTCACCATCAATGTTCTTGACCTCAGACGGCTGCCACGTGCTCCAGCCCGGCATATAACAACGTGAACCTTGGCACAGCACCGATCCAAGTGCAGGTGAGACATTTCTACCCACGAAGAAATTCAGCGTATATTCTATTGCAAGGACTGGCCTTCTATAAACTTGAGGGTATAATATTCAGTTCTTATTGCATGGTACTCTCCATACTCCCTCTATAAATGTCCTCTCTTGGAACCTTTTGAATAAAACCTTCCGGAGGTCATTCAAAGGCCTCAGGAGAAGCGTATGATCTGCTAGAGAGCAAATGTGCAAAGTAAGTTCCATGCGAAGTGGGGTCTAAGTTTCGTAACGTTTGATTCAAAGATACTGTGAATCAGGAGTTTTATAACGAGGGTATTGGACTCAACTTCTGAATGATTTGTACGTTCCGATTTCCCCCTTCGCTGAAGCTGAGATTCAGCGTCACTCTGTACGACCGTACCTGTCAAGTACAAGACGGATGGACCTTGCAGATTATTTTTTAGGTCCAAGCAAAAGGGAAACTCTACATAGCGAGTGCTGGAAGAAGTTTGTGACATAGATTTTGTCACCCGGTCTGAAAGTTCACAGAAGTTTCGTCCAGTGGTACCTTTGACCTTCCAAGCGTACGCTGTAGACCTAGAATAGAATGTAAGGAAATGCTAGTTGCAAATAATCGATTCTGTCCAAGTTTCTGGGTGCAGTAGCACTGTACCTATTTGGCAACCATCACTCGGTTTCATGCTTGTCACTCTTAAATGTTTTAATAACATTTGAAACCATCAGCACATCCGGCGAGTTAATGTTCGTCTCCAAGCGAAGACCACATGACAAGCTTTGAGTCACCAGGTGGTCATGGAACTAGACGCGAGCTAATGTTTCAGAAAGAGTGGAAGAAATCTCGGATATTTGCTATGGAATTGCGCATGACCGGAACAGGCTCATATACATTCCGCCATGGTCCAAATCCGAATGCAAGGCCCGGCTCTTCAGATCTGAAACTCAACCTGCTTCGAATTTCATGGCTTGTTGTCTCCTTTCTACTTCCAGATGGAATCAAAAGTTTGGCTGCGACTGTGATGCCTAGAATGAGCAGCCATATACGCAGGAGAATAAACTTGAGCACTTATAGTCGAAACTTCCTCTAACTGAAGCATCGCTGGATGTGAGGAGATTCTTCATGTTCCTTCGAACATAATACAAACATCCTACAAAGAGGAGGCAGGACATGAAAGCGGGTCCAGCTGTGAGCCGGACGTTTCCTGGAGAAAGCTGAGATCCAGCAGGTTCAAAATTACCGAAACACAGACGCTAACATTCGTTCCTCTGTGCCTGTGATAGCACCACCGGCAGCTAAGCTATGGTACCTACAGATCTGAGCAGTCCAAACGAGCTTTCCGTTAGTCTAGAACGTTTAGGGGGACTATAAAGACAGTCAAAGAAGAGATTCATATCGAGCCATTCCTCTCCTTCTCCACGCAGATCTGACAAGCGCTCATGGCCACTGTCCAGTGAGAACCTGAATGACCGAATCTGCTTCCCACTGCCTGGCAATGGCCAACGCGATTTATTAATCGTGTGGGGAAATTTCGAAGCTCTTTTCGCTTTAAACGTAAAAGCGCAAATCCGCCTGATAGCTCACAGGCGACCAAATCAAAGAACAGAGGTCCGCACATGCTAACGACAATTCCGGTGCTGAGATCTCCACGCGGCAATGCTGGTCAAAAGGCAGAGGCGCGACTGCTAAAATCGGTGAATCTCGCAACCAGCAGGAAGGAAATCTCCACATTCCTGGGCAGACTTTTACCCGTTAAAGATAGTCGAGTTCACACATTCCCGTCTCCGATTAAATGAAAAGCAGCGACTCCGATAAAGAAAAGCGAAGAGCTTTTTGCTTTTTCTATAAATATCCGGAAAAGATATTGACGAATTATTGAGATTCCATAAAAGAAGGCCTTTGAGCCGTAGGTCATGGAAACAGAGCCCCCTCCACCATTCCCCTGTCTTACTGGCTCCGAAGCTCCTGCTTTCATGTGCCTAGCGAAGTTGTTTTCTCCTCGGCCGAGTGGACGAACACAGTGGAGTGGACACAGCGGATTATACCACCATTCTGCAAAAGGAATTTCACTCGGGGCCGGGCCTCTCTCCGCGTAGACATGTCTGCTCCGTTACATCTCGTAGGGCAGGAAAATCATATTGTACTCAGTATTATATGCGTTTTTTCAGTTGCCTCATTCTGGGACCTGCTCGGCGGTAGCTAGCCAGAAACTTTTGATCTGCTGATGGCGAGTAGGACGCGGTTGTGCAGTATACCTCGGGAAAGGGAGCAGAGAATAATGCTGTCTGCATTCTTGTCAGCAATGCTGGAAAAGTTGGACCCCAGGGAAGGGGGAGGGGAGGGCAGGAGAGGTCGGGACGCTTGTGAACCACTCCTCGTGTGCGGAGGACGATTACGTGGTTATAAAATACGTGAGGAAGAGTTCCCCTCGGAATCTGAAACTCACGTAAACACACGCCCATGTGCCAGCGCTCTCGTCAGCCTGTGCGAGGAACAATTGTTTATGCCAGACGCGCTACGGGAGCAGCAGCAGCGACGTCTCGTCGTCGTCGTCGTCCTCGAGCAGTTTTCCGTGCACTTCAAGAATCACGGAAAACCTGTACACTCCACGTACTCCCTGTGCCTGTACCATGCTCCTCGCTGCGTGCATGCCGGGTGCTTTCGAGGAGGGCAGACTCTAACATTACCGCCCGCTCGACCTGGGGCCGGGATGGAGACCAAGCCTGCAAGACTCACAGGCAGACCGACCGACTGAATCGTATGGCTCTGCGATCCTGAGCTGCATGTGAAGGAAGGTGTGCACACAACTTCATCATCATCACAATCATCATGGCCTTCGTCCCTGTTTCTGTTCTGCAATACTGGTTCCGATCATGCCTCGACGAAACTCAGAGGAAAGCAATCCTCGATACCGCAAGATCTCCCCGGCGACCGCACCCGAAATCCCAATCCCGCTGGATCCAAGACGGAAGTACACGTCACGTTGAAAAGTGCGGCCCGCTGTGTCTCAACAATCACAATCTCTATCGTATAATATCCACGCCCATGGGGTCCACCTTCAGCCCACTGTTCCCAAAGGTTCCAACTTCAACCCAATTCGCACTGACAGTCATGCTCAATCTGCAGTGTCGTGATTCATACAACTTCGAGACTCTGAATCCGAAAGCCAGACATTATTCCGGTGGATGTGAACAATCGGCTCACAGTCATAGCTCTTTGATTATCAATCAGAATGGAGTCCGAGAGTTATCAATTCCATATTACTAATCTATATTGTATAAGCGGTCGATGGAGGTCGGAGGCCGGAGCCGAAAAGCTCTGCTGCGGGAACAGACGCAGCCAGTTTACGCTGCATGTGAATGTCGCGATCGTGCTGAAAGCGTCGAGGCTATGGGAGAAAAGGGAAGGGGTAACATGATGGAACAGCGGGGGAGGGTCGATCGATAAAGAAAGAAGCGCTGCCGTCCGTCCACAGGCGACCCGAGCATGACTGCGTAAAGCGCATCGTCACACAAATGGCGAACGAGGGCTGCGGGGCTCGTCGGGTTCGGCTCCTTTCCGTATTCTTGTGTCATGTTCAGAGATCGCCGATTCCCAATTCCAGATTCTTCGCGTCCGACTTTCCTCGGACTCGGATCCGGACCCACGGCTCCGCCGCGATGGGGTCCCACAGTTTAAGTCTTTCCCGGATACGACCCCATAACCGAATAAGTGCGAGCTTGTGCATCTCCTTCAGATGGTGGTCGATCTCTCCCGGTCGACAACCGAGCGACCGGCCCCTCTCCATCACCAGCTTTCACTGGTACAGATTTCCGCTCTACACGACGGCCGCATTGAACATCGATTCCTCGTTAATAAACATTTCCGACCTCTCGACGATTGATTCAATTTTTATGGGATTTATTGAATTTTTCGGTACGATTGAGACAGTTTGACATTCTTTGACCAAAAGTAACCTGCAATGAATTTTCTACGCACTCCGAGCCCACTCTTGGGGCTCATAAGGGTCAGAACTTATTATTTAAGTGCGTGTCAACTCGAGCAGCAGTCAAATGCGCGCTCTTATTCATTCACTCGGTTACTCTTACGAAGCTGAACACGTTTCCCTAATTCCGAGCTCCCATGTATGTGAATGTTTACTTCCCCTGCCGGCCTGCAGATACTTTACTCTGTGCGGGGCTAATCTGAGGACTACTGCGCTTTCATGGCGCCGAGCAGTGGCTGAGTCCAGAGGCTAAGCAAGGTGCTCAGGTGACGGAATGAGCGAAGGATGTCGCACTGGATCAATGCCCGACGGAAGAGCAACAATGGAACAAATTCGGATCGCCGGCTTCGCTTGCCTTGCGATCTCAGATGAGTGATGGCAGTCGGGCCTGACGCACGTTTGACTTACATGCAGAGGCGAGGGAGTAGGCCTCCCATGGCCGAGAGACGTGTGAGATCCCGAAACATCGCTCTCGAGCTCCGAGCGCATGTCGAACCCCTGGTCTGCGAACAATCATCAGAAGCTAATCGGGGCCCCAGCGGAGAGCCCCCGGGCTCGAAAGAGCTGCCAAGTTGCGCCGGCGCTTGCAGCGGCGAAATGCTCCGTTCGAGATTCAGTCGTCGAACACGGACTGGTTCCCATGTACAAGCTTCCCCCGTGGCCATGGCTACCGGAGGGCAAGGTCGTATCCGGTAACCATTCGGTAACCCAGGGTACGGCTGCACCCATGGTTCTCTTCTAGCGATCGAAAGTGCAAGTATGACAAAAAAGATGAGAAGACCCTATCAAGCGTTTAGATGATTGGATGAAACCAAAGTGCTAACATGGGCCTACCCTAAATTTCACCACAATGTGATTTCGTAATCTGGCACTTGCGATATATGAAATGGTCTACACACAATTTTATAAAGCAGGTAATCATCCTCTAAAGTGTCACTAATCTTTGGATTGCATTCCCTTGATTAAAATATAATTATAGCATATAAATAGAGTGATATTGAGATAGGGTGTCTACCACATTCTCTCAATATAGATAGACGTGAGCTTCAGTATTCTAAAAAAATAAAAAGTAACAAAAAGGTTAAACTCTTTACATGACAATATTTTGGAAAAAATTTATGTTGACTTTCGACCTTTAATACACAATAATCAATCAGCTCCTCCAACATCTGTAACCATGCCGCATCCAACATTTAACGTTTGAAATATAGATTTGCCTTGACCTGGAACTTTCTTGAGTAAGTTAGAAGTGTGATATAGAGTTGATGGAAAATGGAGGTGGACGGTCTTGACTTGACGTTTACTTTCTGATTCAACAGTGTCACATCAACAATCCACTCGGTTTTCACTAGATTTTGTTTGTAATGTGCTAGTCTGTGACCAAGTTGGAGTTACCCAATAGCGACATTCCATAGTTAATGTTTTGTAATGTGTTAGTTAGTGATCTAGCAATCCTCATGTTTATAGTAACGTATACTATGCCATCCATTGATCATATATTTTTAACTCTATAACCATTTTGAAATTATTATTGGAAAAAGAAAATAGATATCTCTCGATTCAAAATTATTATAGATATTGAAATAATCTCTATATCATTTCCCAAGTGCTACATGGACCCAGTTGATACAGCCAAATAAACGCATTTCACGGGAATATTTCCACGCAATATATAATAAAAACCACATCTTTTTTCTAGGTTTAGGGTCCAATAAGGCAACGATTCGTATGGAACCTTCATATCTCTAGTGTGAACTCAATCATATAGGTTGAACAAGGCAAGGCAAAGCCTGGTCCAACAGAAAATAACAGTTAGTTCGACTTTTTGCTCAAGCCAAGATAAATCAGCATGCAAACTTTTCGGAGCAAGACTGTAGACTAGGACCTGCGCTGGTAGCTAAACAAAAGCTAAGACACATAGAGAGAAAATGTAGTTACTTCAAGATAGACTCCAAACATTTAGTCCAATAGGTGGACAACAAGTAACGAGATTGGAGCTCATGGTAACACGAATTATCAAAAAACATTTTCCATCCAAGTACTTCACACAAATAACTTACGTGCACTGTATCTATAACAAGCATCCCACTCGACACTAGTTTGTCAAATCCAGCATCGTGCCAGATCAATGTCCCAAGTCGAGGACAAGAGTGTCACAATGGCCCAGTGCTCAGTGGACCGGACCGTGAAGAAGTAGCGGCTCTGCCAGATTGGCATCCGCCATAACGGCTGGCCAGCCCCGCAGCCAGCAGCAGCAGCTGCTGCTGCAGCAAAAGTGCGACGAATGGGAATTCTGGTCATCTGAGCTGCGCGGACTTCACGTCGACATGCAGTCGGGAGCAAGGGCAGCGAAGGGTGAGCGAGCGAGCGAGTGGTGAGTGAGTGATTGAGTGAGTGAGTCCAGGGCCTTGGGGCTGTGGACAGGACATGGAAGCGAGGAAGCACACAGCCCGACCTGATTCCACCAGACAAGCAGCTCGGCACCTTTGAGGACCTGACGTTCCGCGAGTGGGCTGTCTGAGGACTCATACGTCTCCGCGTGTAAGAACGAGCAGCGAGTGCAGCCAGCAGGAAAGAGGCTCGTCGTTCCGGGACACGGAGCGTCGCTCTGGACATGTATGACACGACAGCGGCATGAAGACATGTTTCGAGCACGCTGATTTCTGTCCCGGCCTCGCCTTGTGACGCGGCCGCGAGTTCCCCCAACATGAGCAGTTCTCTGCATTATTTTTAATTGTCTAGCCCGATTTGGTGACCAGCTTTGCTCAACCTGACTTACCCTCCCCTCTCATCTTCCCGAGTTACGCAGCGCAGTCAAGGTCAGAGTGCATTGCGGTGGTTCTCGAGAGCGAGCAGTGATCAGCTCTGAGAATTCCTTGTATAAGGTATTCTCGACCGACCCGACTGAGCCTACCGAAATAACCCAGCTCGGTGATCCGAGAGTGATGTGCCTCTGATACCACGGTAGATGCAATCAGCGTCAGGTGTTTACTGACACTCACCACGTCATTGTGATCGCTCCTATCTAGTAGTTACCATCCGAGGGTTATTACCGATCTCAGGTCAATACTAAATTCACTTTCTCTTAGATTTGATCAGTCTAAGGTCTCTTCTTATACTCGCGATCTCAGGGTGATTAGATAACTATATTAAATGTGAGCAGTCTAAGGTCGGTTCTGAAAGTCTCAAGTTAAGGATGATGAGTATAACATCAATGATCTCAGCGTGATGAGCCAGCCAAAGTAGACTTGATTAGTCCGAGGGCCATAAATTCAACTAGCAAATCCCGGTGATTCCAAACCATTGCTGGTTCCGAAGCTCGACGTATGTGACGGTTTGGGTTCCAAGGATATCATGATCAAACTTCATCGTATTAGCTTCAACATTGCCTCGAGGTTAGAGAGAAGAGATTAATTCCCGTAAGAAAGTTGAGCTGATATCGGCTTAGAAGACCTTTCAGCCATATCAGTGAGCAGTTGCAGTTCCAGTCATGCGCAGTTTAGGTTGAGGTCTCTATTACAGCATGTCGGAATTCTTATCTCCACGTCTCATGTTCAATTTTCACAAGCAAGAGTTGTGTAAAGAGGTCAAAGACTTCCAGGAATCCAGAAAGAACTGCTTAAAAGGTCGCCCTTACGTGTACCTAATGCGTAGGTCATAGCGCCCGTCTACCATACGCTTGGTAGAATTTGCGGCATTAGATGAAACCAGAATACTCGTCATCCATATGTATCCATACATAATGATTTGTAGTATATCTAAATTTTGTGTGGGGCGTAGGGTGACTCCATTGTAGATTATCTCTTCATCTATCTCTTCGAGCCACATTTCAACATCAGAGCTCACGGAGTTTACTTTGGACAACTACAATTATGACTTCTTTTATGAAATATGAAGACGTGCAACTCAAGTAAACAATCTTGATATGAACATCTCAAGAGACAGGGTCTGAAGGCTTGCGCTTTCCGCTGCCTTGACTAAAACGTGAAGGAAAAAGCCAATAGTCTAAACCCTAATCCTTCTTCAGCCTGGAACTGTGACAATCGATCAAACAGTTAAACCGCCACGGCCATTGACACTGGACAACACAGTTTGAAGTCCAAGGAACAGCTGTAGAATCTACCGTCCTGATGTGCACTACCTTTGAAGAAAACATAGAGTCTTGTTTTCACGGCCGGATCCAAAAGGTTATAGAAGCTTTTTCTCAGATGATGGACTATGTAAAAAGATTGGTTCTTTCCATTTGCTTTTCTTCGACAAATGACTTAGCCTAGCTTGAATGAAAGGCAATAGTGATTTCTTCCACCGTAGCATATGGACGAAGACAAAGAGCGTTTTGAAAACAAACTAAGTCATAATACATTTCTTCAGTATCACTCGGTCTCTGAAACGTAGAAAGTTTTTCATCCTCTACTGCTTTTGACTCATGTTACAATGTCTATCATGCTATTATATTAACATTTTCTTACAATGTCAAATCAAACCTGCGGTGGAGCAAAAACTAACTAATGAATTCTAATAGAGATTCTCAAGGGATAAAAATTAATTTAGTGTGTTCGAAAATGATAGTCAGAGGAAATGGTACGTCTGAGACGTAAGAATAATCTAGCAAAACTAAAACGTGTTTCCTGTTTCTTGCAAGAGATATTTTTAGTTTTAGCTGGTTGTGAAGCATTGTCTGATCTATAAAATAGTGATAACAAGAAACCCACGAGAAAATACATATTCGAGGAGTGAGAGAGATGGCTATATGTACCTTGTGCCTAACATCCGCCAAAATGGTGATGAAAGTGATTACCTGCAACTAGAATGAAAAGGTCCTCTCGCGTTCACTTAAGGATAAAAACAACGTATATGGTTGGTTTAGGAACGGCTGTGGTGGTGGCGATTACCACCAACTCTTCTTTTCCATCAATAACCTTGAAGCTCGCTACTGACGCTTCTCCAGCCAAGATGACAAAAGAACACGTTTTTTGCATTTGAGAAATTCTCTCGGAACTGTGGGGAATGCCATTTGATGCCTTAGCCTTCGAAGCCTATGCATGTCAAGGTTGATTTTTGAAACCATATGGACAGTAGGGGAGTAGTACCATAGAGTAAAGGGATATACTGACGGATTTCATGTGGAGTTTGTTCAAGAATCATCAGATTCACTACCCCTCCCTTGAGCCACCATAGCATAGCATGTACATGCTGCATCGTCAAAGATTCAAGCATAATTCTACTGTAAGTGACTCTTACAGTCTATGCTTCATATAATAAATATTTGTTTAAAATATTTTATTATTTTGAGTCGTTTCAGAATGTTCAAAGGTCTGTGAACAAACGTCAAAAATATAGCAGGAAACATGTTTAGTCTGGGAGTACAGTGGCGACAAACTCTCCGAACGAAGAATCTTAGAGAGGCAAAGGCCTAAAGATTTTTTTCGCCTGGAAACGTTATGGAGCCTGGCTGTTTGAGCATAATTGTGTGTAACTAGAGCCTTTCAGAAGTTGTTGGAAACTTCTGAAAATCAAAGCACGTTGTCCCTTTGTTTCCTAGCAGGCAGCAGCAGGTAGGTTGTCAATGGTCGTTATGAGGTTCCTTGTAATTATCGAACCGTTCACATTACCTCAGTCCACTTTTCTTCAAGCTCAATCAAGGGGGTTTGATATGCTTTGGAGGCATGAGGTAAGCCTGCGGCTTTTGCTTTTGATGTGCAACAAGCAACGTCCATTCAGCCCGTGACTTCCTTCCGATATTTGACTATAAAAAGAAAGAACCAAAATCAACTCGAGGTTTTGACACTCGATCAATATTAGCGGTAACCTCACTACTCACCAGAGCAAGTGCTGCTTTGCACATGGAAAGAAGTTTTCACACTTGACTGAGTGGCCCACGAGCCGACAATTTACTCAAACTCTAGTTTTAGCAGATTTTTGCAATAGTCTAGGGGTTCCAACTCGTACTCTACGAAGGTCCGCGTATGTTTCTGCTATCACTCCTCCGATCACTACCATCTCTTAATCGAGTCCGTCGTGCCATATCAATGTTCCTATCTTTGTGGTAAGTACCACGGATACAAAATAAGTACCAAACCAAGTGCATAATCTGAACTGGCAGCGTTCTTCACGTTGCAAAGCTTATAAGCTTTCAAGGAAGCAACTTTGAGGACCTAGAAGGCTAATTTTGACCATGCAACTGCTGGCCCGTGGTGGAAGACGGAGAGAGATGGTCATAAAAGATAAGGACGATCGCAATTGTCAAGGGAGACAATAAGCTTACACTCCAGAGCACAGTCAAGTTTCCCGGAGCTAATTTTAGCAGGGGGGGGGGGCGGCATACCTCTGCCCATCTCGAGTCTGCATCTCCCACAGATTGGGCACCGGAGCCGTGATATGGCGAGATGGCGAAGAGTCCAGTCCCAGAAGAGAGGGACAGTTCAAGTATTCTCCAAGCATCCCAGTCGCCTGGAGGGTCCAACTTGACCCTTGAAGTTCTCTAAACCCCACAGCGCAGCTCCCCCCATCCGGACATCCCCGATTCCAAGCATCTCATAGCTGTGCTGCGAGAGATGCCGGACATCGGACATTGGACATCGGACATGCTCAGCGCGAAGCTCATCGCTGACGTTCGTCCCGCAGTCAGTCATCACTGCAGCCCATCACAGGACAGACAACTTGCCCACTCCAACAGCGCCGTGACCGAGCCGCAGAAACCTCGGCCCCTTCTCTCGCTCTCGATCGCTCGCTCGCTCGCTCTCTGTCGATCTGATTCCGATGTGCGATGGTCGAGCGCGAAGCAACGGAGCAGCAAGCATGCAGCCGCTGACTCGGCCAATTTGGAGGAGGAGGACACGATCGGCCAAATCGAGAGCCTCGCGCCAATTTCGTGACGAGACCGGAGGTCCGAAGGAAGGGATGGGCGGACGTCGCGCCCCCGGCCAATCTGGTCCGCACATCTGTTATCGGACGAGAAACGGACGATCCGCAATCACGTGAACCCGGATCGCGAAGTGTGGCCAAATTGGCCATCCATCCCCCCTCTAATCTGGACAATCAGCAGTTCACGTGAACACTCTCCCTCCGGTCCACAGCCACGGAGGCAGCACAGCGACGGGAACTGTGGCGGCTCGGCCAACTCGGGCGGCGAGAACCGGCTCCAAAGACTCGGCTATCTATAGCCGCAACAGCGCACGCTAATCCGGCCGGCCAGTCGACGACGGTCGTCCGTCGAATGGGGTCCGCATCCGTGACAGGAGCGAGCCGCTAACGGCACCTCGACGTGACGGGAAGAGCAGCGGGGAGTTCCGACGTGCGGTGGTGGCGACGGTAACCGGTGGGCCGGGATGCCGGGAGGAGGAGTCGAGTGGAAAGCCGGCGCCCGGACGGGAAGATAGGCCTGCCTGCCTGCCTGCCTTGCGGCAGAAGATACCGAGTCCCAAATCACGGGCGGCCGGGTGGAGTGGGCCGACGACGGCAGGGCGAGGGAGGGAGGGAGGGAGGGAGGGCGACGGGGCGAGCTGACCCGAGCCCGGGGGGTGGACAGACGGCCGAGTAGGAGGGCTTTGGCGTACGCATAGTCGAGAGCGGTAGGTGGCGGAGCAGCCGACTGCGGGGGGCCGACGAAGGGCAGCCCGGGGGGCGGGCCCACGGGCGGGCGGGCGGGCGGGCGGGCAGACTGAGTGTCTGGACTGACCGAGTGAGTGACTAAGTGCGGGAGGGGGGGCCTCGGAGTTTCAGGCAAGGGAGTCCATCGGGTTTCGACGTCGACTACAACAATTCTCGGCACGAGGTCTCGACACAGGCGATTTGCTCAAGGCAGAATCTGAAGGAAGCCGCTCTCGGCCTGCGCTCCATCCCACCTGAATCCAGTCGCCGAAACTCGCCTGCGATTCACTGGAATTCGCCTGCGATTGCTGCGACTTTTCCACATCTCCGCCACCTGCTGTGTTGGAGATCGACCGAGTCTTGCCTTGCGGACTCTTTTTGGACTTTGCAAATCTACCTCGGCTGCTCGGAGCGGGCTCTGGGAGCATCTGCTGCCTTTCTCCGTCCTTATTTTTATCCGCTCCACTCTGCTCTGCTCAGCCCAGCCCCGCTCTGGCCTCAGAGCTTCCTCGTGTTTCAAATTCCTCTTCTGGACATCGAGCATCATGTTGATCTTTCCCTCCTGCGTGCTCTCCGACTGGGTTTAGCCAATCGAGGATTATTATAACATATCTTGGATCTCTCCGCACTCAAGCGCCACTCCTCGGCCCAAATTTCCTGCTTCAAGCTTTCGCACCCGATCAGAAGTAATCCTTGTTTTCGAGTTTTCTCGGAGCGCAACGGTTCCTGCGTCGCCCCCATTGCCTGCCTCACCAGCAGCTTCGCCCGCAGCACCACCATGAACTACCGCAAATTCGCGGCCATGAAATTCTCCGAGTACTGCAAGCAGGCTCCAGTGTCGGAAGACACCGCTTCGCAGCTGGCTGAACTGCAGCCTCCGAATGGGGTCAACCTCGGCCATCCGTGGATCCACACCGGCTTCAACTGCAACGGTTGCTCGGCCAGCCCCATCACAGGCTTCTTGTACAAATGCCAGAAGTAAGTCCTCGCTGCAGCTCCATTCCATCAATTCCGTCAATTTCATCAGCAATTTCATCGTCAATTTCAGCTCCAGCAATTGCAGCAATTCCACTCCTTTCCTCGACCTTCTGGCGTTTCGCTGCTTGGACAGTGTCTGTCGTGTTCGGACTCGATTGTGCCAAGGGCCTGCAATGTGAGAGCGAACCTGCGCTGACGAAGGACTTCTCCGTGTCGTTGTGTGTGTGTCTGGGTGACTGCAGGCGCAAGGATTATTATCTGTGTGAAACTTGTTACAGGAAACAACCATCTGATGAAATCCAAGAATATCTTCGAATCGAAAGGGCAGCAAGCTCGCCTCCCTTCCAGATCTACTGCGTCCAGTGCGATGTATGTGGAGTCGCTCCGATTCAAGGCCCTCGGTATCGCCACAAGACGTTAGTCTCTGACCTCCCTGCCCTGCCCTGCCCAGCACCTCATTCGCGTGCATGCTCCAACACCCCGTCGCTGAACACCATCAGTAACAGCATCCTCTGGTTCTTGTTCTCCTTTTCCTCCAGGCGTCGCGACAGCAACTTGTGCGCGGCGTGCTACGGGATGCTGCAGAGCTCCAAAGTCGCCTACTCCCACACCGAGGCAGCGTCTTGTTACGAGCTTCTGGAAGAGACGACCATCAAGTCGGCCCGGAAGATGCACAGTACAGTGTTTCATTACGGAATTAAATGCGATGGCTGCAAAAGCTCCCCCATTTGCGGCCCTCGGTACAGCCTCAAATTCGAGTAAGCCTCTCGTTTCCCCTCGAGACTAAATGTCTCGAACAACTTCCTCTTTCATGCTTCATACCGTGCTCATCTGCTTAATTTTTTCCTCGCATCCTCTCCATGGCCGAGAGGAGAGTAGTTTCTTGAATTCATGATGAGTGCTGACGTTTCAGTGGTGGGATTGTGCTTGCAGCCAGGAAGGCCTATTCGAAGGGAAGTCGCCGACCGAAGTCAACTTGTGCCTAGTCTGCTTTGACGGTCAATACAATAGCGGCAATCACAAAGACTACGAGAACCACAAGGAATATGATCATAGGGCGACGGGAAGGAAGTTTCGCAGAATATTGAGACCGGAAGGTCGTTCTGCTGTACATGTCGAGATGCTTTCGTGTCGCCATTGTAATGCTACGCCGATTTGTGGACCTGCATACCTTCATCTATCGTAAGTTCCGAATCGGTCCCCCTCGTTGTGAATTTCGTGAGTTTTGTTTCCGTGGATCTCGGTTTCGAAATTTTCATTTTCCCAATTTCAAACGGCTGTGAGGAAGTCTCTTGTCCGACTGCAGTAGTCTTCGAAATGTCTCAAAATGTGGATTTTAGTACAGCATGGGGGACATATAATTGATCCCCTAGATGAATCTCAGAAGAGGCATCTGACATTGGGCTTGTGAACGAAGCTTAGGTCTGAAAGATTTGCTTCAGAGAAAAGATCCCACATGTAGAAGTGCTTTACCGAAAAGTAGACGATCACAAATCAAGTTCAACTCTTTCGTAGGATTTCCTCAAACACCTGAGACCAACGATTGGCTAGAGATGAAACAGAAAATAAGATTTTCTTTCTCAACTGTGGACTTTGTAGGTCTGGATGCCTCTCAAGTACCAGCCTCTCTTCACCTCTAGGCTGGAAATTACTCGTATTGCTGAAGCTCATGTTTACACCAACTCTGAGCTCGAAGAGGTACACAGAGTTGGCTAAACCTCTGGCAAAAATGACAGGAAAAAAAAAAGGGGAAAAAAAAAAGACAGATGGAAGGAGCTTCCAATATTCCCAGCATTCTACTGAATGCAATGATTGTCATTTTCTGCTAGAGCGTTTTTGCAGATGATCGGAGCCACTTCTGACACTCCCCATCGCCTTGCCAAATGTGCAGGAAGGATAACGAAGCACTTTGTCTATTCTGCTACATGAATCTGAAGCCTGAGAAACAAGAGGCGTACATGAGGTTGGAACCCCCGACTCAGCTAAGTCCTGCCATGGGGAACATCACAGAGGAGGAGGTGAAGAGCTACCTCGCTCGGAGGAAACCCACGACCAAAGGAGAAGAAGAATTACTTGAAGCCGCCATGGCCGCCCAGAAACAGCACCAATTCAGACATAGACTCTTCTTGAATCAGGTGAAACATAATCTTCGGATATCACAAGAGATCGAGAATTGGAAACTGAGGATCGAAAACGACGATGGTAGCTGGAGTTGGGCGTATCCTTAATGCTGGCGGGTCTTTCAACCGATGTAACTGTACGGATGGCAGATGTGGTGGGCATAATATGATTAGAAGCCAGAGCACCGGAGCACTCAGAAAAAAACTACTGAAAAATCAAGGATTTTGCTACACGCAGGGCAGATGAAGCTCTCTATGTTCAGTATTGGGGAAAGGGATCCGGATGTTTGATAATATTTACGCTCCGGTCCTCTGGCAAGGCTCGGGTAATATAAAGTGCAGCATGTTCGTATTCCGCCTGGGAGAGTGATTGGTCTGTGGAAATCATTGGCTCCGGTCCATGGAGGGCCGGGGAGGCAAGCGAGACCTCAGTCCCAGGAAGAAGGTTATTATCCGGCCCAGTGCTTTCAGATGTTTCACCCATGTGCACATTCTACCTCCGAATCAGCTGACAGCATGCCTATAGTTGTGATTACCGTGAACGCACGCCCAAATTCGATTATTGATCATGAAACCCCGCTGTACGTACAAAGGCAAGTGAAAGACCTTCACTTCCAAGAGTACTCTGCAAGTCTAGCTTCCATGGCCTGGGGAGACTCAGGGATGTTCTTGTGCAGACAACTCAGAGGCAGGCTTGCAGATGCCATCAACGATCGAGCCGGTCTAGAACACAACTCGAGAGAGCAACTCGGGTGACAGAGTCCACCAACCAAGCTCAAGCCCAAGCTGGTGGATCATCTTGTACAATGCGGAAGAGTGCAGACCTAGCAGACCGGCCCACATTCATCTTCTTTAGACTTTTCGCATCATCATTCACTAGAACGGTCGCCATCAACTTTCGTCAGCCTGCCTGACAGTTTTGCTGGATTATGCTTCCAGATTACGTACATACATTGTCCACGTAGCTTGAACATCAACTGGATGTGAAGTAGCATTCCATCACCACACTTAGGCTCTCGAATGATTCTCGAGAGCCCGTTCACGTCAAGCTAGCAAGCACTTTTCACCATAGAAGCTTGAGACCTCACCGGATGAGGGTAGAATCTCATCTCTGTAGGCTCTTCACACACTAGACACCAGACGGAGAAAGAGCCCGAACACTTCAAGCCAGCGACCGTTTTAGTCACGATCTCGAGTACAGCCCAAGTTTTTCAAGCTGTGCCTTCAGCTTCAACTGGATGCGGAGTAGAATCCCATCACCATCTCTAGGCTCCTGAACAATCTCGTTGATCGAGCAGGAGCTTGTCCGCATGAAGGCTAGCAACGGACGTCATAGACTAGACTCGAGATTAGTATGAGAAAGGTTGAGACCGAACCAACCATTGTGGAACGAGAAAGGGAGTTGATCAATGAAGAACAAATGAAAATCTACACCTTGCTTTCCTGGTATACATTTGAGGGTTCTTATCTCTGAGTATCACTCTTAAGATGGTCCTTCTGAACTTCTCAAGTGTCTACCGGAAGCACAGAAAACTGCACCAAGTTAAAATTCACCCGCAAAGACCTCCGAGATCCCCTGAAACACAATCCCTAAGAATAAAGAACCTCCCTTGGTATCTAGAATGCAAAGGAATTTATTACTTGGTAAAGACTACACCGTACTAACATAAAACAGGGCAAGGTAAGATAGTGTAGGGCAGGGTAATATGGCTCTAAAAGAAGCGCAACTCTCGAAGCTGGGATATTGGGTGAGGTGGACACAGCAATTATGTTTTCCTGTGAGAGGTGAACTCTTGGTGGAACTTCTAGCAGGTTGCGTTACGTTATGACCTTGGAGAAGTTCGAGTTAGCCTTTAGGATAATAATGCAGATTTAACAATTTCTTGAGTATACCATATCAGAATGGGCTTCGTCCGTCTTCGCGATGTTGAGGTACATGATGGGTGACCATCAGGATAGACCGCGCATTGACTTGAAGACTCTGCAAGCACCAATGAATGACTGCAGCACAACTCCTCTGCGTGAAACAAACAAACATGACATCGGCCTGCACAGTTCAAAGCTGTAAGTTCTGCAGGTCCTTCCAAGTGTCAAGTTTGTTTCTTTCGTGGGCGGACGCTGTGTCTGCTCCACTGTCACGTCCAATCGAAGCAGCGAATTTCTACAGAAATCTCCATCACTGAAATAGAAAAATTCTGTTGCCACTGCTCAAGAGCGACAATGCAACAACGGCTTCGCTGTTGCGATTGATATGCAAAATTCTCCTTCCAAACCAAAGATGTAGCCGTGAGCCATGCCCACATTCTTAGAGGAGGGACGATTCACGCATTTGTGGCAGTCATGAGCTCAGATGAGTCTCTCTTGAGTATGCTCGTCATAAGCTTTTCGATCAAGACGCAGAATGAAACAAAGGAATGAGTCTAGTTCTACAAAGCATTCCAAATCTTGAGCTTCATCATTGAATGTCCTGCGATTCTACTCTGCAGATCGTGTAGGGATTCATAAAGGACAACAGTGTCATAAAGAAGAAGCTAAAGGACAGTTGTCCGCTGCCAGCTTTTCCAGAACAAACTTTCTCATTGTACAGCATGAATCAATACGAATGGAATTTGCGTAGACATAAGTCATAGACACGAGTCTGAATCTACTTTGACCTCACCACGAGTTTGAAGCATGGAAGAGATTAGATTTATTAGCTGTACGCACCTGAAGGCTAGTTGCTGTTAGATTTCTCATAGCCATCGTGCATTGACAGAATGTTGGAAGAGTTGTAAGAACTCTCTATTCCTCAGATTTTCGGAATCTGTCAAAGTCATTGATTGCTGGTCAAGTTTTAGGATATTTTGCCACGACCTTCAGGAGTGAAGTAGTTCCTCGTGGGGCTGTTGCATGTCACATTCATACAGTTCTGTAGTTATCGAGAAAAAGTTGCAGATGTTTGAAACGAAAAGAGGTCGTACCTTCCACAGATTAAGAATCTCACAACTAGAGAAGGCATCTTAGTGTTAGACTTAGTGTACTTACACCTGCCAACGACTTTAATTCTTCAATCGGTAATCACAACCGAATGCGACAAATTGAACCGCTGCAGAATACTTCAAAGGGTGAGTTTGCGCGTCTCAAGGTTGTGCACGAAACAAGACATGTATCAATTCTTGTTTCATTCTTATCAAGAATTCGGAAGTGCAAACTTCATGAACCTACTGTTGAACAAGACTGTTCTTCATGAGTGTATTTTGAAGTTCTGATGACTGCAGCACATCATTTGCGGTGGTAGCCTCTATTCAGCCCTCCTGACCGACAATTCGAAGCATACACAACCTGCCTACCAAACAATACAGCGCTCGGCCTCGCATTCTATGATGAGCTAAGAATTGCTGTACAGGGACCTGATGCAGAGAGAAACGCCAAAAGTCCTCCAAGCTTACTTCAGCAAGATTCAAAAGCTATTCAAAGATTCAAGTCACCCTGACGCAATGTGATCTCCAACAGATCCGGGTTTTATACAGCTTGTCGCTGTATCCGGTTAACGTAAAGATGGAAGAAGGGACGATCTGCACAAAATTAAAGGCTCGCAGTTGCCAGGTGACAAGCATTGAATCGGGAGTGAGATGAATGCACTGAAAATCGATCATATAGCTCCAATCAGGCAGATGTTGCTGCTTTAGAAAAGACTGGTGAGTTGAAATGCAATTGCAAGCTAAAGTTCCTTGAGCATCATGCACTTTGCACTAAATCCATCGTGGATGCACCCTGGGACCTCAAAGATGTCGAAGTCAACAGATTCATCGAGGTTATGTTCTATGAAAATGTTGGTCAAAAGACTTGAAAATGACTCTACATGTAAATTATAAGACGAATAAAACACATGAAAATTAGACTTTTTGGTCAAAAGACTGAGTTTATGTCAACATCTTAGTTTGAAAAGAAGGAAATCAGAAGATTTGTACAATTTTCATCTCTTCTCCTCATGCAAGAATTTTATTCAAGGGATAGAAACATCTTTCTAACAAGCATCTTCATCCATTTGTTTAAGAATTTGTTAGGAAAAACCAAAAAAGAAAAATCTCTAATTTTCATGTCTGTTTTGTTCGTCTTATAATATACATGTAGAGTAATCTTCCCAAGCAAACATATTGTTTTTAAAATCAGTCTTTTTCACACTAGAATAGGAAGCATCTACTTGTAAATGCAAAAGTATTGGTAAAGAAAAATACCATTGTTCTCTTAAAACCTTCGTATGCAATGTGTTAATCTTTTAGTATGCAATTCATATCTTTAAGCTTCACTCACATATGAAAAAAAACTTGAATCAATATATTTTTCATGTATTATGTCTACAATGATGCATGTACATGCTTTTGATAGATTAGTCTAACATACTTCATGATTCAAAAAAGCATGATACTTTTTTTCAATGTCAAACATGAAAATTTTATAAATAAGGAAAATATACTACTCCTTTTGTTGTAAACTGCATCTTACAAATGCTTGATAAGAGATATTGTATAAATAAATTCTGTTTATGAAAACTTGAAAATAAAATAAAATCTGATGGATATACTTTTCAACGAGCAATTGACGCCTCTTGTTTACACTTCACTAACTGTCTCGTTGCCCCAAGCGCAAAGATCATTAATCACATGTTTATAACAAAATATATATTTTAATGTAATTTAGTAAAAAAAATTGAGTTCAAATATTTTCTCTTTTTTGAGTTTTACGAATATATTTTATACTATGAAAAAAATTATTTGATGTATAAAATTTCAATCTTTGAACATGTAGCATTTTTTTTCATAATCTTCTACGTAAACAAATTTTTCACGTTTATTCAGCAAGAATACTTCAAAAAAGTTACAATCCTTGTCAGTTTTGTCAAATTTATCATGTTTTTTCATCAAATATGCAAAATTCTTTATAAACCGAAAAGTGCCTTTAAGCGTATTGATCATTGAACATAAAAAAAAAATTATGCAATGTTAGTAAAAAAAATTGAGCCAATATTTTATATATCGAAAGCTAGGAAATTTGCTAAATATTGAATTATGATGCTTAGTTCCATGAAATTGATACTATGTGAATCCGCTGAAGTGATTTGATTTAAATATAATCTCATGTTAAAATTTAAAAATTAATTAAACACATGTGAAATATCAAAAAAAAATCTTAAAATCCATGATTACTCATCCGTCAACATTTGAATTTACGAGCTGACATATCAAGCTGAAAATATTTTGATAAATTATTTTGGGAATTTGATTAGCTTCAAAATTTCAGTTCCAAATATAATCTTTATTTATAAATGTATCATTAAAAAATATAATTAAATTGTTATCAAATGTTTAGACATTATTTTAAAAAATTGTGATACATACATTAGATACATTATTATGACATTTATTTCAAACATCTTCTACAAATGTGTAAGTTACATTATAAAACACAAATAAATGATTCTCATAGTTTTCATCACATTACTTTTTCTATAACTCTTGTGAATAGGTTTAATTTGAATTATTATATTCTATACTAAATGTGGTATTTAATTTTACATATTTAATCAATAATTCAGCATTTTAGATTTATAAAAATTTGATCAAAACTTTATAGTTTCATAAAAAATCAAAATAAAATACATTACAAATTAGTATTTTGAATTTATACCTAATTTACACAAATAAAATTATATATAATATTTCCAGAATATATAAAATCCAGAATTTTTTTCGATAAGTAAATAAAATGCATATATTAAATTATTATTTTTAACTTAAGATACTTTTTACATCTATCTAAACATATGCAAAGATTTTTATCTAATCTAAAAATAATATATACAATTGACAACATCAATATAAATAGATCAACACATCAATTGTTACTGTTGATTAGTGAAAAAATCTGATTTTCTTGAATTTAAGATTAAGAATCAAAATGAAAGAAACAAAACAGTGCTTTTATTGAAGTGTATTTTATTTGATCAAAATAATAGCAGATGGATGAAATATGAATAAAGATTTATACTAATATGTTGATTCATTCTTAATAAATTTAGTAATTTTGCAGATACTTTTTAAAACACATATTAGATTAGTAGATTTTGAAGAACGTCAAGTGAATTTGAAGAAAACTACTTGATGTGCATCACAATAGCGCAAACTTTAAGAGTGCCAACAGTATACAATGGATACTAAAACATTAAAGTGAGCACATTATTTGACCAAAGTATCAAAACTTAGCTCCTAGCAATTATATTGATCGATTCAGATTATCCTAAATACCTCTTGACCTACACAAATAACAAACCTAAAGGTAAGATATCAATTGAATCACTTCTATCTTGTACCGTTGATGATGCTCTGTTTGTTTCCAGTTACTGACGACGCTACTCTGGGGTCGAGAACGTAGTGGTACACTGTCGAGACCAGAGTAGCCGTGAAGTCTCTGCTTGTGAGCTCACCAATCGAGCTCCGATTTCCTGATCTCGGCTAGTCATCCCCGAAGTCCTATGTTCGACTATTTTTCAACTCTCGAACTTGTCCTCGTTCTTCCGTGCATTCGCTGTGGCATGTGACGATCACCTGCTTCGCACCAAGACTCGTAATAAAAGGACTACATGTCATATCCTTCACTTCACAAGTAGAAACAGAAATTGAAAGGCTGATTGCTCTCAGCTGTCATACGGACTGTCTGAAACACATCTCTGTATGGAACGGACTGTAAGTTTGTCTATCACCTTCTCATGAAGCTTCGGTGAATACTACAGATCTGCTCTGGCATCTCGAACTTCTTTTAATAGACGGCTCTCGACCAGAGCTTCTACTCCAATCGTTCCATGCCCTTGAATCAGCGTTAGAAGAGTTGCCTCGTTCAGGGTCCAAAAGCATCCAGGAGACTCTTGCGCACATGCAAACAGATTACTGTTTTGAGAAGAAAGAGAAATCCAAACCTTCCTGTCAAAACCATTTATATGTCCATGGGCTTTTCGGTATTTTGAAGCTCGATCCAGATGAAAAATTTGACAAGGTCTACATCTGCTCGACGCTGGAATCAGACTGGCATGTGGAGATCATGGGTACCGCTCATCGAATTTGATATTCGAATGTGAAATCATTAGCCGAATCAGTTAGAAATCAGACGTTGCAGCCCATTCCCCCTGCATTGGAGAAATGGTTGTTCACTTTTACTGCACTTGACGTGGCCGATTCATGTACATTTGTCTAGATCAATGCGGCTCGAAGCTTCTGAATCGACTACATTGGCATAGACTGTTTTACTTTCTGGAACAATCACTACTTCCATTAGATTGATCGATACCGCCGATCCACCTTGCAGACCACTGCTCGACATCGCCTGCTGGACAATTCTTGCTGCAAACCCATGATTTCAATTGCAAATGATTCCGACATCTCGATGTGCCTCAGGTATCCTTCACAGTTAGGGTTTCGATAACTGTGGACATAAATACAGGGTAGATACATTTTTGCAACCTACATTGTTTCAAGAATTCGAGTGTCAACCAATTTGAGACAGTCTATCACCACGTCAAGTGATTTACATTTGATGTAACACCACGTCAAGCTACATCAAACTTTCTTACGATCATCCCAGCTCACGAAGAGTTCGAGGAGTTCTCGATCTTATTCTAGAACGTGCACTTCTTCGGTTCACTGGAGAGTGACTGGGTCGCAGTGTTGTATTTACTACCCCGATGATAATGGACCGTAGGATGCTTCTTATTGTTGATTGGGTCTCCCGGAGGGGAGTTTGGGCTGCGCCGGCCTAGGAGGTAGTGCAATACCAAGGCGACACTGGCAGATCCTCGACAGCAAGCTGACGAATTGGACCCGCACCCTGAAAGAAATAAGATTAATATCGTGAGGGTCGATGACCCTCGTATCAGATATTAAACTGATAAGAACAGATACTACACTTGATCTTAGCCAAAAGGCCGAGAAAGGTATACTTCTGAAGCGGAATTTGAGCTAATATGAGTCTCGTCCTTACTCATTCCTTGCGCATACCGTATGGGTTTGTTCTAGTGTTCGGCTCTGAGACATGGCGCTGTTCATTGTAATGATAGACAAGAGAAAGGCCGACAACACTTTGGACACATCCGCTGAACGGGCACTCGGCATAAGGCGCACTTTTCCTATCAGCTGCGTTCGAGAAGCGAATACTGCAATCGAGAGTATCAAACGCACACTTGATTTCTTGTGCCTCGATCCTCTGTCGCCTCTTGAGAAGGACTGTTTTTGAGTTCTTTTCGTTTGTGCTTGCACATTGGGTCGCATCTGGCACTTCGGCTTGTACTCAGAGAAATTATATTTTTGAGAAGGCGGAAGGACCATTCAGTTCTTAGTCAAGATCATTCTTATTATTTTGGTAAATGGAACGAAATGCATTTTTTCATGCTTCCAAAACTAGCTCTACTGATTTTCTCCCCCAAAATCTTAATTGAATTAAATTATCTTCATTATAGTGTACTAAATCTGCTATTGTGTGCACATCTATTTTTCAAAGACAATTATGTGCTCTGGCAGGTAATTCCACTCGATCAATAAATATATATCTAAAAGCAACATCTGGCCATCTTAGGCAACTGTGCAGCAAGAATCACTACTCAGTGAGTCTTTTAGATCTAGACGTTATACAAGAGGAGATTATATGGTCAACATACTGTTTCATCTATGAACTTCTTGTGAGAATGACTGGATTATATTATGATCTACTCCAGGGAAGAAACTTCCCAATGCTTGGGTATCCTTTGTGCCATTGTTGTGATGCGATGTAATTTGCACCGACTATTTATTTTTCTTCCTGCGAGTGATAATCTCGGTTGAGAACAAGTTCGCTGTGCTCAACTGGAGACTTTTCTTTTGTCTTTACGAAGACAGAGGTCGAGAAGGGTTTAGGCCAGACCTCATTAAAAGTGGTATTTTATTAAAAAATGCCGCTTTTGTCACAAGTAAGATAGGCCGATGTTTCAAATTAAGCCTTTGATCCGTGTTTTGTGTTAGTTTTTTTTTAGTTGTGTTATTGAGTCAGCTGTGCACAGAAATCGAAGTAACGCATGATCAATTTATAGATATCATGTTTGAAAGAAAAGAATATTTGTTATATTACCAATTTTTTCTAAAACTCTAATACTAAAATATTTTGGTTATAAAACCGAGTTTCTCTCCAATCCTATAATTGAACACAAGTGATGCCACTCAAGATTTGAAGAGTAATAAGACTCACTTCTCGTGAATCTTGGAAATGGGCAATATTCGGATAAGTATAATATCCTTATCGTTAGGATCATGACTGATTTCTTCTCACGGACTAACGCTCTGCGCATACTCACGGTGAATAATCGTGAGTACTATTCATGGACTCTTTCAAATTCTCTTTAGATATCGATGGTTTTAGGTGTCCGATGAACATAACATGAGGACGGAACCTAAGTTAATCACAACGGAGAAACAACATTCCTTGATTTTCTCGTGAAATAAACTCAATCTTTCATGGTTTCAAGACTGACACAACAATTTATCAATACAAATGCCACTTTTTAGAAATATTGGATGCCACAATTAACAAAAAGGTGTCAAAAGTGTCAAATGTCATTTCTAAGGAGAGATGGTTTAGGCCTTTGCGCAATTACTAGGAACTAACTTATCGCTCAGTTAGTTTAATGTGTGGGACTAGGCTCAATCACATCATATTTTTTATTTCTCCTCATCTTCATAAGCATAGCTCTTCTAGCTATTCCATTGCACTAGTAATCACAAAATATATTGTACTTTGAATGAAGCGTACATTGTCACTTGTGTTGATTGTTGTACATAGTCACAAGCATTGATTCACAACGTGGGTAAATTTGTTGAGGATCACAACCTGAAGTACATAGTAGAATAACAAAATTGAAACAAAGTCTAATCAGGTATGCATGGATGAAAGCAACTTGATAATATGGTTTTAGGTAACAAGAAATCCACAAAAACAATATTAAATATAATTGAGTCAACTAAATGATCCAAAATATAGGGCTAAAATATTCTATGCAAAATTGTCATAAATAAGAAGCATCAATTTACTTTTTTGCTCTACTCTGGACTGCCAGCAATTGCTATGGATAGATATATATTAACAAAAATGAAATGTATTATAAAAAAGAGAGAATTGTACTTTCTAATTTGGTACGTTCTCATAGACATAGCTCTATCTTTAAGAGTAAGGAGCTCATCTCTATGCATACCCTTCTGCTTGAAAACATTGGAATATTTCTCTAAACTCCTGGCCCATACAGAATATAAACAATCCAAAAATGTGTGAGCTACATGACTGGCATGGTTCTCCCAAAACAAGTATGGGTTTGCTTGACCTAGTGAAACTCACACAATAAGAAATATCCTATTCGCAATTCACATCATGGATATTTCTTTTTCTCTTCTTGGAATGCGAAACAACTGTTATGGAGATCTATTGAAACTAATAATACACCTCAATATTGCAATGAAGATATACATGGATGGAACATGCCAAGTATATCTTTTGAATATTCAAATCTCGAAGATTCACAATCTTCTTGAGAAAAGCATACACGAACTTATTACTAATTTTCTAGTCTCTTGTAGACAACAGTATGCGTGATTGTATCCTCGTAACTTGTTGGTTTTACTTTGATAATCGTTGCTATTCCCGGCTGGACTTTGTATGCGGCAAGGTCCGACGGTTCGAACCCGGGCCTCGAACCTGGAGCTCTTCTACGGTCATGGGAATCCTCAGTCTGTCTCACCCTACTCGCCCTACATCTCCCCTCTAGTTACAACAACAGAGCTTCTTCGTGACAATGTGCCTCTGGATGCAGGAGATGGCTACATGCACCAACAGGTTTGCCCTCTAATCCGCAACCAACTACAAGTTGCAAAGATGGTTGCTGAGCTTACCACTCTGATTCCCAACTACATACTCATCCAAGCACACTTAGTTGGTTTAACATGGAATGAATGAACTTTATCATTTCTCTGAAGTCAGACCGTAAATTGCAGCCAGCGACTACACTCGTGGCTACAGAAGTGGCCGAGTTGGGATTTGTCACAGGGGAGAACGCTTGGAATGCCATAGCTACTCTGCTGGTGGAGATACTACTTATCGGTTACGTGAAGAAGACGTGGTGGGTCTATCTTTCCTGCTCGGAGTCGTTTCATTGTGTAGATATTGTTGTGGCATGTGACGCATGGAGTGGGTTGGACGGACAGCTTCTGCCACGAGAGTCAGCACCCACCTTCTCATTCCTCGTATGAATATTCACTGACCTTAAGATTTTCTTCTTTGCATATATTTTGGTTGTTGCCATCACATTTTCTTCCCTGAGTATCCCTTTGTATCTTGCCAAGACATTCACTCGAATCGACTACTTCCATTGGTGATTCTGAACTCTCTGAATCTGTTAATCTGTCATAACGCCACTCCTGTAAAATGGAGCCACTTCGAGCTTCCTCCTGCGACACCTCAATCTAGTAAAGTAAAAGAGTACCGAAGTATGTGGCTAACAAACGCTTAACTTCAAAATCATCTACGAGACTCATGTAAAAGGTTCATAGAGCCCCATAATCGTCAGGGGATTTCGAGATTCAACGAGTTCCTGGTAGATTCAGATCATTGATAACAGTCACATTTCATGTAGTCCACGTGCGGAAGGATTTCATGGTGGGTAGCTATGGACAAACGATCTCACGACTAACTCACGTTTTCCTTTACTCCCTTCGTTTCTCAGCTACTTGATTCGAGGTAGCGGTCAAAGGCTGAATAGGAAGCCCCCTCAAATCAGTCTCCTTAATTTTCAAATAATTGTGGAATGTAGTTTCTTGATGACCTATCAGTATAACTGAATACTTAGAAAACCCTAAAAAATGCAGTTCTTCAGATGTACAAAGCACGCCGGTAGCGATCAGAACTAACCGGTGCAACTTTTCTTCCTGAAGATATAAGATCTAGTCAGGTCACCGAGGAGAAGGAAAAAACTGCTCCTGACACAATCAGTTCTGACAAGAACTTTGAGTCCTCTGCAGCCAGATAATTCATCTGGTATCTCGACATTTCAGCTCGACATATTTGAGTTCGATCACTATTTGACCTTAACATTTGACTTCTAAGTGTAGCAGCCACATTATCAAACCACGGAGCAACACCAGTAGAGCTGAAATCTACTGTTACATCAACTCGATCTCCTCGTTGTACTCTATGGCAAGCTAATTCTCCGAATGGAGCTACAGGCTGATCTATATAAATTTTAATCCAAATCCTGCTGAAGAATTCTACCAACTTCTACATCTTTTCTTGCAGGTTTAGATGATCATCATGCTCTGATTCAAAAGATTTGTGGACCCAGAATCTGATCCACAAGCCTTCAGTATTATAACAGAATCTGACTCACAACTTAGACTACACAACTCCGGTGACGCTAAGAGACTGGTCACACAAAAGCAGCAATACGCTGCGCTAAGGAAATCGGCTACTGCACTCAAAAGCTCTGAACCACCCAGAGGAGCTCACCTCACCTCGCCTTCTTGGACAGCACAGTCGGCCTTCGGTCTTCAATTATCCGTTTCCTGATAAATCGCTGGGCTTAAAACCTCTCATCATTGAGCTCACAAATCCATCGACGAGAATCTGAGGTTCCCAACCCAAGAGCAATACACACGCCCCGGCCTTCTTCTGTCTTGCACATCATGAACCTTGCCGGCACGCTTTTCGGGAAATATCCTCTCGACAAGTCAAAATCTGCTCACCTGCTGATATCATGATCTGACTAATCTGTTTTTCTCCCTTCTAGTTGGGCAATACGTTCCTGGTCTCTAACGTGCATAGCCTCTGACTCGTGAATGTGCTCCTCTAGCTTCTTAATCTCCTTCTCCCAATGTCCATCAGTGACCTCAAAAATACCATGAGCCACTCTCACAATCCGCCACAATGTCAAGATGATCAGCAATCCTGCAGTGTCTGTATCCAAGCCAATCTCCAGACCCAGAGCGGTTCCCACAACTACAGAATCCAGCACGTAGCCAGGATGAAAAAAGAAAGACCTTCCAAAGGCAACCAGCAGTCCCAGGACATTCAAACTCAGGAAGGAAAGGATAGAGATCGATATCCAGTACAAAAACTCCCAATGCTCGGAGTGTTCCAGGTGCTCTAAGCACTGGCATTCTTCTAACAGGACAGTGCAGTGGTCCAGATCCGAGCTCTTGGAGTGAACCGTTTTGAGGATGTCTATGGCTGTGGCCAGCAGGTCCACCAGAAGCAGAACGACGATAAGGACATGGAAGGGCGTAGATTCCAATGCCTTCCCCAGCTTCCTTCTCCATGGTGCCCGGACCTTGTTCTCCTCTCTGGAAATTATATCTCGAATCGGTCCGAGCGCTGGTTTGTGCTTGAGACGCAAAAGCTCGTGGATATGCGCAAGTGACTGCTTCAACTCTGAAACCTTTGGCACATGCATGTGATGACTATGCACGACTGTGCCATTTGCGGCCACCACCTTCAGTTTCCACAAGCGCATGATTAGTCGGGACTGTTAGACCTCAACAACTTTTACGACCATGTGATCCAGGGCATGAACATTATGACATAGCAAGCAGAGCCCTCGCAGAAATTTGAAGTGATTGCTTGAGACTAGTGAATTCGGACGAGTATACTGTTCTGTCTCTCCATCAAAGTCGTGACGTGCAAATGCAGTCTCACTTGATAGCAACCCAGGAAGTTCAATCTCATCTTGCTACCTTCTTTCCTGGAAAACATTATGATTGCGGCATGGATTACGCCGAGAAAGCATGGTCGAATGCTTATACCACATCTACACTCGACCCATTAAAGAAGGTTTCACTGTTTTACTGTTTGCTGCGGATCGTTGTGAGCGATAAGAGACATGCAACGAAGATAATGCGGAAAGCAAAACAAAAAATTTCGCACACAATGTAGGCAGACATAAAATACACTTAGGCCTGCAGATATATATTCCATAAACTGAAGAACCTAAGGGACAGGACTGACGACTTCCATATGCTGAGCTGATCCTTATCGAGGTAGGACATGGAACAGATCTCTCGGACCTCCAGAAGGAGGTAGCGAGAAGGCAGCGAGATGAACTGCCTACCACTCCAGTTATAACCAAGTATACGTAACAGGGAATTGGCCATGAAAGCCAAACGTGTAAAGCTAACTGCTCAGTGTCAAGAGCTACTAATACTCATGCGATTATGAACGGTGACATTCTCTCCAATCTATAGATTTCGCAACGACACCGTATTCTGAGCTCTGTCATCAAACTATCTCAAACTCAATGTTTGACCTCAACTTTGTCTCGCCGGGTACATTTCGAGTTACCTGAACTGTCGCGTCGTCGCCTCCGGGCCCCAGCTGTTCCTCGTTCTTCATGACTTGCCACTACTCTCTATCTTCGACACGAAATTAATCTTCCAATACAAAAATGTTGCAACTCTGGCTGAGTCGAGTTCAGACTAGCTTTAAAAGGCTCCAAATCTCTTTCCACAGCTGAAAACCAACCACACTTCTGAAGGCATGGCAGTAGTGACAGTGGTCAGTGTCCGGGTACTGTGAAACAAACTGCTGAAAACTTGTGAAGGCGTGCGCTCGAAGTTTTTCCAGCAGTAGTTTGACGAAGACCACAAAGCCAACGCCAATAGATTAAGACCAACGCACCGACATTCGACCTGAAGAATGATAGAACGAAAGCCACTTCTCGTTCTGATTTGGAGCTCGGTCTAAAGTCCACGGTGCTCCCTTTCGCTTTCCATATTTGTCAAAACTCGGTCTCTCGAGCTGGATCCACAGCCCAGGGTCGACGTACATACGGAGCTGTACGGAGAGGTCCCGGAGAACACCTGCCATTGCCCAATTTTAGCCACTTGGAGCCAATGCTGGGAGCTCATCCCCTCCTAAACATAGCTGCCACGCTACTCTTCCGTCATGCGTGCAAGATTCCACGAGCTCCTCGGTGGCACATCCTCGCTTCTAGCGATAAGACGAACGCCGCCGCCAAAGCATCACAGATTCTGCTGCAAAGCGAGCAGAAACGACAGGTCGCCAGCCAGAAGTCTTCTCCTTCGGCTTGAAGCGGTCCTCACTCTTCACAGACTCGGCAGTCGGAACTGTGCCTTGCTTCGGCTTTTTTCGGTAGTGTTTTGCGCGAGGCCATCCATCCGCCACCTCTGGCTGCCAGAAGGCTCATCACAGCGTCTGACAAGTACGGCACGGAGTGTTGGACTCCGCCTCTTCCGCAGGCCGAGTCTAGCAGACTGTTGGTCTTCACAGACCTCGTTGGTGCTCATCCCAGCAGCAAGTACGAGCGCCGACGAGGTCTGCATTGCTTGCTATTGGCACGGATCTGACAGTGATCAGATAAGATGGGATTTGGCCTAAGGCAAAACACTGTTTCTCGTATCGTGTACCGGTCCAACAAGTTACAGCTTTAGTGTCGAGTTGGTGAATTATTAAAAGTTCTCGTGTGACTTCAACAGTGATTCAATGATCGTGAGAGTCTTTGGGAACTGCTTGAGTTATCGAGTCAAGGCTGCAAAATTCGAGGACAACTTCGAGTACGACAGGAAGTGATTTACTTTCGGAACACGCAGATCTTAGCAGCTTAAAGTTGCCGAATTTGACGAGACGTGAAAGCAACTCGTAGAATGGAATTGAACTGAGTGCTCTGCCTGAAGGTTGACTTTAACGAGTCCATGGGCCACTTTCGGATGGCGGATGGACAAATCACATCGTCTGACCCGCGACAAATACAATAGTCTCGAGGCCCTGAGTGACATCCTCTGCGGTATTCGATCACCTTCGTATTGCATACCGGTAGGGGTCAACCGCTTCGTCATTTGATTCGACAGGAATTAAGTCTGGAGCGAGCCCCTCGTCGGACTGGCGTTGGTACGAGAGACTGAGCTCTGGCAACAGTCTGGAGTGTAAATCATCTCCGAATGCAAGAGGGCTGATACCACTTTGACCAGTGATCTGAGTCGAGAATTGGCGAAGCTAAAGAAGTGGCTCGCTGCGGTCAATCGACGTCAATAGAATGCGATCAGAGCCTGCTGGACTAGTCTCTTTAGGACCTCGACCTGCCCCCAGTTGCCCCAGACATTCAACTGACCAACACGATGTCCTCTTTCTGCAGAATTTGTTGGTGCTTTATACATTCAGGGGATGGGAAAAAGCTTCGTCGATTCTTAGATCTCTTTAGCAAGTCCGTTGTCACCTCCGTCTGCCTGAGGGCTTGTCCAGCCGATCGAGACTGCATCGCAAAACGTGGCCTGCGACTCTGGAGCACCGCATCGCCTTCGGAGGCAAGAATGGTTCCTGTAGTACATGTGGTGGGAAAAATTTCCGCACGCTCGAATGACTCCCATCTTCCACTGACTTTAGAGGCGAATCGCCAATGTATTTCGAGGTGGCCTTCTGCATCGACACATCACATTTGGATGCGTGCAGTCTGCCGCTCGATCCAATTCGAAGCCAAAACTCGGAACTGACACCCACACGTACCGTATCACTTGTACGGGCCTAAGCTCAGAAGCCCCTCTTGTAGGCGTTAACGGAAGAGATCTCATCTTCGTGCGGGTTTGACGTACAAAGTGAGATTCACTCAGATCTCACTCGTAGAAAGGACCTCCTGGAAATGTAGATCCCCGCTTGCACCAGGTTGGAAGATACCATTCTCCAATCGATTCCGACGAGGCTAACGAGAGCTCAAAGCGCTTCTTCTTCAAATCACCCTCAAAAAGTTGATTGTCGTGGATGCCGCTGGTCACAGGCACCCACAGCCACTGAGACTATACTCAGTTTCTTCGTGGAAACAGATGCAGCCAATTCGAAGGGACACCTCGAGGAGGACAGGAAGAAGTGAACGAGAGGAATACGCAGATCTAGCCAGGCCCAGTCAAAGTCTTTCAGTCCGACGACATTGAGAGACCCACGCATGGGTATAGAATTTGAAGAGGCAAGACGTCGGTCATACCTGGATTAAACATTGGCATTGAACCGGTCGGGCCGACAGCGATCCTTCGAGGTCTGAGTGGAGACTCTACATTTCAATCCAGTTCGTTTCTGGTCAGATAGCACCGCGGGCGGTTAGATTCTTCCATCTGGACAAGATTCAGGTCACTGTGTCCTCGCTACCGTAGTTCACAGCTCACAATCGTCACGATGACGGTGGAACGTGATGCGTTATACGATCCATGCCGGAAATTACCTCATGACTCTGTGGGCAATCTGCACTGGTAGCTAAGAATTCATGCGTCACTGCAATTTCCGCAGTCATGTTCCGCCGTGGGAGACCTGCAATGCTTTCAAGTCCTTGACGACAGTCGGTACGCGGAGTCCGGGTCCAAACGAAGTCCTTGGAATTTCGATGAATTCACAGCGTTCTGTACGTAACGCAGTCCGATCGTGTCCAACACAGATGTACCTCGTCACTCTAATCCTCACGGGCGGGCCGAGGGCAGCGATTCCCCTTCCATCCAACAAGGTCCCATCATTTTTCCCCTGAGTCCCCGGCGGGAAAAAATCAGATTCTTATCAAAACAGTCAATGTTCGTTACTCTCCATCGCTCTTCCAAAGGTTCCCATGCTCCGTCAGCAGAGAGAGAAATCCTCAACACCTGAACTCAACTCTACGACGACGAAAGTCGCAGAGTCCGACGGAATGAGCACCGCCTCGTCCGGAGAGGAAGCTCCTCGTGGAGAGCGGCTTGGAAGAGATGCGCGCAGATGCGCAGAGGAGATTCTCACGAAGCAGCGATGATTCACTTGATTCCTCGGCGAGCGAGCATGGGACCCATTCGCGAAGGGCAGAGGCAGTTTTGCGGAACTGGGCCTCGTGATTCCACTCCATGAGGTGAGCCCCGGCAGAACAGTGGTCGCGACGCACTCCAGGGGCCGGGGCCGGGGCCGTCATGGCCCCCAGGCATGAACTTGGGCCATTTGGCCATGTTTGACAGAATTTAGCCACGTAAGGGAGATCGACCTGCGCTGGAAGTGGGGAGGGGAGAGAGGGAAGAGAATGAATCGAGAAGCGCGCATTCTTTCCTTCGCCTGAGAGAGAGTATTATATAATATCGACATCACGAGTGAGATATCCACAGCGGTGCGATCGAGCGTCGGCCGCAGTATAAACTCGCAGCGAGGGAGGTTGGCAATCACGCAGAGGTTGGTTGATCTTTGCGTACAAGAGCTTGCTTGAGCAGGGCGCCGGGGGGTGCGAATTCAGAGCCACAACGCTGCGCTGTGTCGTTCGGATCTGGCGCTGAACAGCTTCGTGATCAGTTTCGTGTGACAAGATGAGCTCGACCGGCGCAGAGCTGCACGTGAGCGGCCTGCAAGGCTTGACAAAAATCGACACCACCATGGGCCGAACGAGCGACGTGTGCGCGGACGACAGCGTGCCCACCGTCAGGGCGCAGAACCTCGACGAGCTGCACTCGCTGCAGGTGAAGAAATCCGCCCCGAGCACGCCCCGCGGCAGCTTGACGCCCAAGGGCGGCGCAACCGCGGGCACCCCGCGCTCCGACGAGGAGCGCCAGCGCCAGCAGCTGCAGTCCATCAGCACATCGCTGGCCTCGCTGACTCGCGAGAGCGGCCCGCAGGTGGTGCGCGGCGAGCCCGGCAAGGTCCCGATCGCCTCCGTCACAGGCCGCGCCGCGTACGACCCCAGGGCCCGGTTCCAGGACACGAGCGACAGCGCGCTCAAATTCACGCACGTCCTCTACAACCTGTCGCCCGCCGAGCTCTACGAGCAGGCGCTGAAGTCCGAGAAGGGCTCGTACATCACGTCGGCCGGAGCGCTGGCCACGCTCTCCGGGGCCAAGACCGGGCGCTCGCCCAAGGACAAGCGCGTCGTGTCCGAGGAGAGCTCGCGCGATGATCTGTGGTGGGGCAAGGGCTCGCCCAACATCGAGATGGACGAGGAGACATTCCTGGTGAACCGCGAGAGAGCTGTCGATTACCTCAACTCGCTCGACAAAGTCTTCGTGAACGATCAGTTTCTGAATTGGGACCCGGAGAACAGAATCAAGGTGCGAATCATCTCGGCTCGCGCTTACCACTCGCTCTTCATGCACAACATGTGCATCCGCCCGACCCCCGAGGAGCTCGAGGAATTCGGCACCCCCGATTTCACCATCTACAATGCGGGCAAATTCCCCTGCAACAGGTACACGCACTACATGACGTCGTCGACGAGCGTGGACGTGAACCTCAAGCGCAAAGAGATGGTGATTCTGGGCACGCAGTACGCGGGCGAGATGAAGAAGGGGCTGTTCAGTCTGATGCACTATCTGATGCCCAAGAGGGGCATTCTGTCGCTGCACTCGGGCTGCAACATGGGCAAGGCGGGCGACGTCGCGCTCTTCTTCGGGCTGTCGGGGACGGGCAAGACGACGCTGTCGACGGACCAGAACAGGCTTCTGATCGGCGACGACGAGCACTGCTGGGGCGATGGCGGCGTGTCCAACATCGAGGGCGGCTGCTACGCCAAGTGCATCGACCTCTCGAAGGAGCGCGAGCCCGACATCTGGGACGCCATCAAGTTCGGCACGGTGCTCGAGAACGTCGTGTTCGACGAGCACACGCGCGAGGTCGACTACAGCGACAAGAGCGTGACGGAGAACACGCGCGCCGCGTACCCGATCGAGTTCATCCCCAACGCGAAGATCCCGTGCGTCGGGCCGCACCCGAGGAACGTCATTCTGCTGGCCTGCGACGCCTTCGGCGTGCTGCCGCCCGTGAGCAAGCTCACGCTGCCGCAGACCATGTACCACTTCATCAGCGGGTACACGGCCATCGTCGCGGGCACGGAGGACGGCGTGACCGAGCCCACCGCGACGTTCTCGGCGTGCTTCGGCGCGGCCTTCATCATGATGCACCCGACCAAGTACGCGGCCATGCTGGCCGAGAAGATGCAGAAGCACGGCGCCACGGCCTGGCTCGTCAACACCGGCTGGTCCGGTGGCAGCTACGGCGTCGGCTCGCGCATGAAGCTGGCCTACACGCGGCGCATCATCGACGCCATCCACGACGGCTCTCTCCTGGAGGCCGAGTACACCGAGACTCCCATCTTCTCGCTCCACGTTCCCACCGCCGTCGACGGCGTGCCGTCGGAGATCCTCATGCCCGAGAACAGCTGGAAGGACAAGCAGGCCTACACCGACACGCTCAAGAAGCTCGCCGGCCTCTTCCAGAAGAACTTCTGCAACTTCGCCGATTACGAGGTCGGGGGCGACTCCAACCTCACGCAGGAGATTTTGCAGGCCGGCCCGGTCTTCGATCAGGCCAGCTGAGGCGATTTCTGCTGCAGCTGCCGTAGCTCGGGACGCCTTGTGTGGTCGTCCCTCGCGAGAAAAAGTTCAATTACAAAACGAGAACCTTGTGAACTTATAGCTCTGTAGATTCTTATCATTTTGCCGTCCTTTGTTGTGGTGTGTCAAAATCCAGAACGGATTGTTCTGGATGAGCAATGTATTATAAAATCCCGTCGAGAATGACCATTATCGATTGATCAAAGGCAAAGATAAACTCTTCTAATTACAACGCGGTGACTCTTGTGGATCTAACTCTCACCTCAGTACCAAGCGCGAATCATTTTTGTAATGTGATAGGATCTTGCTCGATTGATGCTGCTCGCGTTTCTTCGGTCTATCAGTTGTGAGTGTTCCAGCCGTGATTACAAGCGGACGCTGTTATATCTGTACCTCAGATCGATCCTGATCGGTCTGAGGAATTTTGTTGCTCAAAGCTGGACAGAAACTTGAAGGGATCAAGATAAACGCAGTGAGTTTTAGTGTGGCTGAGACATTCATCCGACGATTTTCATTCGTTCATTCATTCTCGGAGGACAGACCTCTGCGTGGTCAACGAGTTGGAAGGGGTGAAGTCAAAGTCTCGGCGACAAGTAGACTGCTGCCCGTCCAGCGGATGGTCTGTAGGAACACGAAGGAAGAGGAATAATTGTTGTCCAGCGAAAGGGCGGACACCATCTCCTACCCCAAGACTCGGAGAATACGGCTCGTTCTGCCAACGAGGAAACTCATTGTTGTAAGATCCAGACATCGTTTGGTGTCGAAGGAGCTCCAACCGCTGTGCTTAGAAACTCCTCTCTCCAATTTACAGTCGTCCTGCAATCCTCAAGCATCCTGCATTTTCGCATTTATCCTTCGAGTCGAAACCTTCGCTCCTCCATTCGTAGTACTGCTGTATTTTGTATGGTGCAAGTGTCGGAGATCGATTCTTCTCTCCGAAACTCCCGCCGACCAGCTCCAGCCGCTTTTGACGATATTCGACATCGAAAGTGGATCATGCCTCCCTCCTGACGGCTGACCCAGGTCTTCCCCGTTCAGCAGTATTCTCTGCCTTACAACGATTGCCATCGGTGTATACGAGTGGCACTTATCAGCGTCACGGGATTACTCGTTATTGGAAGAGAATTTTACGTACATTCAGGAGGATATGACGATCATGAAAGCTGATGGTTTGTAACATAGCGCAGCGCGGACAGACGTCATTAAGGTCCCTTAGCCCCCAAGACTAGAACTTCAAACAAGTACACACTTCTGAAGCTAACCATAAGGTTGGAATCAACATACGATGCTAAGTGAAGCCTTTCATTACTTAGTATTGTAACATCGTTTGCAGGTTTAAACCACACGATAATGCACCGGCCGCATCTTCGATTCCGGATGTCGCTTGTGGTTGTCTTGTATGTTGGGTTGGGACTAGAGTGGGGAAGCATCTGGGGTGGGGTGCTTCGAGTTCATCGTTGACTTGGGATGCACTTCGGTTAATAAGTTCCGCATCTTTGAAGCTCCCCATTGGTGTCGTTATTGCTTAGAGGTCCCGAGGGATCTCCCCAGTATCAATGCACTTTTGGCATGCTTCCTCAGGCACCCCTAAAGTGCGTGGATTCGCTGCCTGTTGAAACATCCGAATCACGGTGCTTACAGCAGGCCCCGAGATCGCTCTTCAAGGTTCAAGGCATGGATATCCATGGCACCTTGGGTTCCTTCATGAACACGTTAGCTGGTGCTTGATTCCGGCGCTTTGAAGCTCGGCCCCCACAGAAGTGCTTACAGTAGTCCAAGAGCGCGCTCTTGGCTCGATGCTTAGCTCTGACGCTGTGAAGCATCTCGCACAAGCTCAGTTGTACATACATACGCAGAGAAACAACGAATGGAGGGGCGGAGGAGTCAAAGTTGGAGAAGAGAGGCAGAATCAAATCTCTTCCGAGGAGCATATCGCGACTGCTGTGGGAAAGCAAGATATCCGGCGAGGTAGGAGGCATGTCTAATCGTGGGACGAATGAGACTGCGTTTCACATTCTCCCTGTCGAGCCTTACGTGCGCGAGCCTAAACCCACGGCTAACGTGCTGGCATAGCGCTTACATCGCGGAAAGATAAATTCGTGATGAACCTACATCATCTCGGTAAGATTGATGTCCAGTTGCAGAGCAGAGAGCAGCTCGAAGAGTTTCAGATTAATGGATTCCTCTCAAAACTGAACACCTCATAGTGAAAGTTGGAGTATAAATTTGGCCGATGTGCATGCATGGGCGTAGCCCACACAATAATTGTAACCGGATGAATCTCTCTTCTCATCTGCAAGTCGGTAGCCTCGACGGGTGCTAGCAGCGCAGGCGATCGGCGCATTCACTGCTGCACCCCGAAGATCTTCTTCGACGTGGCATTAACACCCCCTACTCTCGAAGCGCTCAAATCCGTCAGGTTCGCTGCGGGAGGTGTTTCATCCTTGGGCTTTTGGCAACTTCAAGCAATTTCATCTCGTTAGCGCCCTCTCCGAAAATCAGAACCTTAACAACGTAGGGCTGTGGCAGAATGATGGAAATCGAAATCACTCGAACAAGTTGTGACATGTTGTTGATCCAATGACAGGATAGTCGTATGCTGCAGGCGGCGGATCCAATCCTTGCGAGTGCGGCGATGCTTCGGATCGTCTCCGCTGTCGAAAACGAGGACAGATGAAGGGATGAACTACCTCATTACTTCACCACTTCAGGTAGCCTGCGTTGAAATTCACTGGAGCTCTGGATCCATCGTAGAGCACTGACGACGACCGGATGCTCACTTCAAGCATAAGGAACTCTAACGACGATGGAATCCATTTGTCCATTTCTGGTGCGTCCATGTCTTGAGAACTTTCGATTGGCTGCAAACATGTAAGTACGACGAATTTTAATTTCTGGCAAAGCGCACTCGACTGGACCAATGAGTATTCGCAAACATATTGGACACCAGCTGAGCTCGTCTGCGGCTGAACACTGGCGTTCTACTCTCCATGTCACAAATCTATTCCAACTGGTTTAACAATGAAATTCTCAACCTTATCAAGAGCTGAACAACGTGACCAAAACAAACTCACGTCGTAAACTGGTTCAGCTGACACGGATTCAGCAGAATCGACGCTGAATTTCTTTCCATAAAATCGCTCAGAATTACAACGCCAAGTCTCGTTGTTTTGCTTCTTGTTAAATCTCCACTTTGCAGATAATTTTGTTCACGGCTTATAAATATGCATCTGAAACGTCATGTCCTAAGCCCAAGCACAGCTGACATGGAATTGGTGGGCAATTCCTGTAACCCTTGACAAATGTACGAGACTTTCCGTTAGCGTGTGATGTTAGTACGAAACTACAGGACTTTAGATCGGTCTTGAGTCTCAGTCTCCAACTGCGATTCGTAAGCACATTATGTCCCTCCATGAGCACGCATCGCACCAAAAGTTTACGATGATGGCTCTGAAGTCTGGGAATAATTACACAAATCTTCCTGTGAACCAGATTGGCATTAATGAATAAGAAGCGTGACAATATGATACACGTACTTGCTAACGAAGTTCGGCCAATTACGTCTACGTTCACTGATTAATAATACTCATATCTCACACCCCAATGACATTAATTTTCGCGGAGCTCTTGTACAAGGAAAGCTGCGAGAAATCGGGGTCAGCACAGCTGGAGATCTGAGTCTCGTAGTATTCGAAGTCGACACCTTTCAAGTGAAAGCCTTAATAAGAACGCTCTTTGATTTACCTTCCGACAGAACCGAAAGGCAGAATTTGCATATGTAGAGGCTAAAACGCAAAGCCTTTTGATGAATATCTTAACACAATTAGATGAGATCGGACTTCATATCGTTGATGTCAAATCACGTACTTTGAAGGTCCGTCACGTCACATGGACTTCTGCGCCCATGAAACGACTGGAAAGTCACCAAGATTTTGTTTTACACGTTATTCTGCCTCATCAGCAGCGAGCAAGCATTCGACACTATGTCTTCTGAACGAGTCCAGGTATGGCTTCAAAGGGCAAATTCGATCTGCCCAAAGGAGAACTATTCTTCCGCTGGCTATTGCTGGACGGGAAGTTGCATCTTTGTTGCTTGTTGCCAAAGAAACGAGCAAAAGAAAGTTAACTGTAACTAAGGCTACAGTCTGATTTACCGCCGAAGCAGAAATATGAGTCGGAATTTCATCACAGTGTTGGTCAAATGGTAATTTGAACTTCGTCGGCCAGTGATCACCTCCTCAGCCAAACAGAGAAACCTCGTTCCACACTCAGAATTCCTACGAAGATTTACCGTCCACATATTTTTCAGATACCTAAAAGCATAGAATATGCTTCCTAATTTTCCTGTCCAGGTAGCCGGCAATCGATCATGCTTCTGATCATCATGCATGGGTTTGCTTGGATGGACACACTCAATGTTTTGCATAGACCACGATGTATGGCGAAGTAGGGATATACGACTTCGAACAACAAGAAGAATAGCAAGCGAAAGCACCAGCTCAAGAGGAGGCGTTGATTCGCATGTCACGTACATGGTGAAGAAATTGTGTCCACATTTTGAGTCTGTTATAACTTCTAGATACCAATTAGTTCTGCTCATTGCATTGTACATTAGCCAGTTTGATGCTTTGTGCGCTCACGAACCAGCTCGAGATTTAAAAGTCATAGCTTACCATGATGGGTCATTCTTCCTGCACCTGTATCACTCTAATACATCTCTCGAGAGCTTGGATCGTGTTGCATTCGATCTAGACTAGATGTGACGAAAATACACCCTCACTCTTGAGCTGGACCAAATGACCTCAAGCTGTTGTTGAGGGAAGGCATTTTCGCCTTTTCATGTATTGTGTTCACGAGGAAGTCAATTTTGTATTGTGTCAGTTCTCTCATCCTGTTCAGTATCATACATGTCCATTCTCGCTCAATGGCCAAGAAGAGCAAACCTCTTCACTAAGTCTGTTGATGATTCTATATTATTCTGATTTTTCATTCCTTATATCTTCTATAACTTCAAGCTCTACCAGTTTTGTCAGTGTAGATTTTATCCTGCATGCATCTTCAATCTTTTGCGAAACAATGATTTTGAACCAGAATCCATTGCGACACCCTCCCGATGAAGACCTACAAGGGGAGGAACATCATAATAATTCAACAGACTTATTATATATCTTATGACCCAAACCTACCATATTCTAACTAATTTTTTTAATAATATTTGATTTAAAATTTAATGATGTATATAAAATGTTATAATTTTAAAAATTAAAAAATCGACGGTTGCTTAAAATTATACTCTATCACTTCATTATCAATTAAATTATAAATAATTTTCTTTTCATAATATATATAAATTTGATTTCAATTATGTAATTAGAGAGAATATTTAGTAAGCGTTTAGATTCACTTTTAAGCTTCAGTGTAAATTTGTTATCAGTTGATCATGGCAATCACCTCAGCTTAGTTTCACACTTACATAAAATTATAAATTACATGTTTTCTTGACGTGACAAAATCATGCAAGTTATTAGCAACTATACATTTTGGTTTAAAAATTCACTTATATCAATTACTTTAGTGATCTTAGTAAATGAAATTCCACAAATTTTTAAGTGAGATTTTTAGATTGCATCTAACTTTATATATCAATTATTAGTGTAAGAAAATCATTTCATCTACTTGAAAATGATTTCATCTAAAGGAAAATTTAGTGATTAATTTTCACTATGACAAGATTGGTTTTAAATTGTATAAATCCCTGTATCTTCTATCGATACTTTAGTCAATATCACATTTTCATTTAAAAATCCGAATTCAAATAATAAACATTCATACTTAGTATAAAAATCAGTGTAGAATAAGATATTATATAAGATATTTTTTTTGAAACTAATTGGTTCATAATATTATGCGTGGTGAAGTATATTCATATGTCACTTTACAAATTTTATTGCTTTATTGAAAAATTCATAACATAAACTGATTTTTTTCTGTGTCAATACCCATCTCTTCAAATTTTACTTCAAGTATTTTTTGGGTGATATTAATCATATATATATATATATATATATATATTATTTAAAAATAATTGATTAGAATAAAAACTTTACGCATTTAAAGAAAGCAAAATCGAAATTTGAAAATAAAAATTTCTGGATTTTGACTCTATGCAATCTTTCATACACATAATGCGCGAATCAATCATAAAAATATCAATGAAGAGAAAATTTTACTTCTTTCTTTCCATTTATATCTATCCTAACAATAAGTTCGAATTATATTTTTACAAATGATATGATTATGGTTAGAAATAAATTTATGATAATTAAACTATGTGATTTATTAAATTTCGATAGTTTTGTTAACAAAAATTTGAAATCTAGATTAGATATAGATTATTTCACTATTCCTAACTACACTAGTAAATTTATTGCTATATGACAAAACTGTCATACGGAGGGAAACGGTTAGAATAATACTAATACCCATAACCACAAAAAAACTGGATGCGGTCCTATACATTTCAGTAATATAAATTAAGGTTTTCATCAAAATACTGCGTGGAATTGAATCAACACAAACAGTTTGAAAGTTTTGATTTTGACACCGATCTGATGATTACTAAGGAACAGTATTTTTCAAATGAAATAAATTCAAAAAAGAATGAATCAGCCCAAATCAGTTTTTACTCAAATTCAAATTTTGAGTCATAGTATGAGAACTTAATTCAACATTCAAATTTACATTTAGAGTATATCTATAATTTTTTACCAATAGAAGTGAGATTTTTTCCGAAATTATAATTGTATTACAATTGCAAAAGATTGCGTTTTTTTGTACATTCTTAGTCTTGTTTCAATATACTGCATTCATTTTATCCATTCAATAATAACATTTTGATTATGTAAAAAGTCTTAAAATTGACAGTTTCAATCTTGTTGTTCATGAATATTCCAATTTGATGAAAAAAAATTTATACATTGATTTGGAAAATCTATAGTGCAAACTGATTATCCTATTTCTATAATATTTTGATAAAGATATGGGTTTTGTTGACTCTCATAGACGCTTCTCTTATTCTTGTAAAATCACGTCAAAGTCTCCACTGATTTCAAAGAAAAAAATTGTAATATGCATTCTTCAATTCAAACCTAACAAATTTCTTTTATGTGAAATTTAAAAATTTAAAATTGGAATTTATTTATAGACAGTTATCATAGTTAAAAACTATCAGCTTGTAATCAGCCATAGATTTTTTTTCACATTCATCATATAACTATCTACAGAAAATTAGAAACTTTGTGAACTATTCTAGCAAAAAACTTACATATACATTATATCTCTTGGAAATTACATGTCTCCTCGAGTTTTGAACTGCTAAACATATAGACAGAAGCCTATTTTTATTCTTCAATTCTCCTTATATTGGAACTTATAGTGAATTTTTGTATCTTTACTAAAGAGATTATACTTAATCTCAGAATCATAATCGTTCTGAACAGTGTTTTAAAAAGTAAAAACTGAATAGGAACTTTTATTTTATGAACTCAATTTTTTTTCTCGACAATCCAAATTATAATACGTTCTGTGCTAACACAAGAACTTTTGAAATACAAGTTTGATAATTTGAGGGTAATTACTATAATAATTTCCAAAAATTAGCATATAATAAGGTACAATAGCCATTGTTTAACAAGTAATAGATTAAAAATTTAAGTTTTCCGGAAAATTCGAATTTCGAATTCGACTGCAATCTCATCGAAGGCGACGTATCCGGAAAGACTAACCGGGATCAACGAATACCATCTTTACTAACAAGGTTGTTCGTGCACTAAAGTATCGACCTTTATCATGTTTATCTCATGCCATGTTCACAACGTGTCTTTTGGAACATCCCGCTGTTATTCGAGCATACGAATTCCATGCGGTCTCCGGCGGAGTTGAGCACAACGGACGAACTCTTCTCGGTGACAAGAGAGCGTCGACTCAGCGTCAGGTGGCTAAAGCACAAAAGCAGACGTCTGAGTTGGCATTGGCGCGCAATACTAAAAGCAGGTCAGATGTGCAGGCAGACATGAGGAGTTGTCTGCACTTGCATGGTCACCTACGCAGTAGGACGCAAGGATGACGTCCACACCTCCACGGCCGCGCTCCCAGTACTGTACCTGCGGCCCTCGCACTCTGGCGTAGTAACTGCGAACGCGCTCATAAGGGGGGCGTTGAGTAGGACTGCGTCGCAGTTACTACACAGCGCGAGAGCGCAGCTTTGTGTAGGTACGCCATCCTCAACGCCCAATCAGTCCGCCCACCACCACCTCCCTTCCGGAAGCCGGTGGACCGTAGATCATGCGATCTGCTCCACGAGAGAAGACAAACGAACAATCATTCTTCGCTCTCGAGGTCTGCCCCAGGGCAGCCGGGCAGCCGGGCAGCGGGGCCGCCATAGGCTTGCGCCGGCGCGTGCAGAGCTTCCGAAGCAGCCGTCTATCCACACGCTCGCCGCCGCAGCGCGCACGCTACCGGCTCTACCCGTCGGACCCGACTCTACCCCGCGCTAGTAACGGTTGTTTCTTGCGGAAATCAAGCCTCGTCCTTTGGAGCTCCCCCCTCCCCCCGCCACCTTCGAGCCCCGGCAGGAGAACGCCAAGAAAACGTTCGAGCGATCCGTGCACGAAGTAGGTCGGGCGGTGACAGCGCGACAGGGGCAGACGGCTGCCGTGTCCGCTCGTGTTCTCGACTGTGTCGGAGCTTTTGTAACCCTACGGCATGATCCTGCGAGGCGGTTGGAGCATCTGGCGTACGACGCACTTCGGCACCATGTCTGTCGATTTCGGGGTCTGGAGGGAACTCCAGCACCTCGAATCTGCTCCGTGACCCCGGGACGCACTGAATTTGGTAAAAATTGCCGTGGGCTGTATACCGGTGAAACCATCACGAATGCTTTAATTCGTGTCTCAAAGAAATTTATTGTCTTACTTGGATTCGTTTTTGAGAAGTGGATGTTTATATTCCTCGAAGTTAGATGAGGAACTTCTTGTGTACATAACCTTCGCTGCGGACGCATTGTGATGAATATTACCGTGGGCTGTCTATCGGTGAGACCGTCACGAATGCATTTATCCATTTCTCGAGGAATTGTGTTGTCTTACTTGGATTCGTTTTTGAAAAATGGATGTTTGTTCTTCGAAGTTAGATGAGGAATTTTCTGTGCACAATAACTTCGCTGCGTTCTATTCTCTCATGCCTCCTACCTAGCCCAGTTTCTGAAAGGAGTATCTGCACAAATCACGTCCTCACAGTAGAGTCTTGTGCATTTCCGCCTCCGGTCCCAAGAGCATGGTTCTCGAAAATTCATGGGCAGAAACTCCAGACGTGGACTCCAAGGCTCAACGCACCAAGCCAAGGGCCCAGCCCAAACTTGGGCCAAACATGCTGTCGTGTGCAAATGTTCTTGTTCAAACTGTCGTTTGACTCCAACCCCAAGCATCAGCCGTGAGTAGGACAGGACACCTGAACGAAGTCAGACTGTAGGGAGTTTCCGTCCCAAGTATACCATGCAAACTTCGCTTGTTTAGCGGAGCAGAGTCAACAACACCTATTTTGATATTCTTTCCACGTCAAGAAGATTCTGAGCCAAAAGAGTCTCAATCGTAAAGTTAGAGTGAAAAACACCAAATTTCAAGTTCAGGTACAAAAAGGCTTTTTGAAAACCTATTGACGGAGTTGATGATAAATCATTGTACTGATAGAACTCTCCACTGATAACTAAGGAAGTTGGCCACACACATTCAATATCACATATTACAAGACTCAAAGAGTGAGAAGGGATCGAGTACAGCGAAGAGGATGGATTTCCCAAAGACTCAGAAGGAAGAGGATAGATATCCAGCCGGCAATAGAGTGGTGTAGCATCCAAATACAATAAATGCGGTAGGTGCAATTTGTCGATTATGTTATGTATTCCAAAATAATTGCTTTACTTTCTCATCGACCAAATACATCAATTACACCAACACAGCACAACCATAGGAGGTTACTCCTACGGGGAGTAACCTTGGTGTCAGCCTCTAAGCTGCAACTCAGTAGCGAACTCCCGGACTCCGGCTCTAAGTCAAAAGCAGGCAACACGTCGTTAGGAGTTGAAGAGAGTTGAACGGACAAGACCGGACTTTGACAAGCGAGGTCTCTTCTGCGAGTGTTGTGTTTCATGGCAATCGTTTAGAGGTTGCTGGCAACGCGCGTCCAGTGCTTAATTTCGATGAAAAGGTGCGAAGCGGACACTAATTTATAGCAAAAAGTTAGAAAAAGTCTAATTATCTGCGTAGGGTTTGCCGTTGGAACAAGGAAATCGGTGGAGAATCTGGACGAGTTCCAGTGGGGACGAAGTTGGCGACGACCTGCTGTGGTAGAGGGAGGAGCGGGACACGGAGGGAGCGAGGGTGAGCTGGAGGCGGAGAGGGTGACGGATCAACGCAGGGGCGCCATACTGACGCTCTTTACAGACTCGCGTTCACGAAGACACGCGCACGAGTGTGGAAGAAGGCGCGGAGCACAGACAGACAGAGGAGAGGAGGTGAATGGGACGAGCTCGGACGAGGAGGGGAGGAAGGTGACTTTCTTTCCCTGCTCGCTCTTCTGAGTCTCTCAATTCTCATCAAATTATCATATCATTTATCTCGTGGCCAGGCCACACGAACGCGCTCGAAACATGTGATTTTCAGGTATTGGCGTATCCAGTTCCGGATCACTGTGCTCTTTTATGCGCTGGAAGGATTCGCCTCACTTCCCTCTCACCCTCCCTCTCTGAATGCATGCCCAGCATTCAGTGGACACATAAATTGTTCCTCTGCAGGCTTGTTTTTTACGGAGGGGGCAAATTGGGAGCTCTCAACTCTTTTATGTCTCTTCTTGTCTTGAGTGTCTACCGGATAGAGCACTGATTCGAGCCTACTTGTCCGAGGCAACAACTAGACGAACAATCACTCAGGTGAGTCCTTGCCTTCGTGCAAGCACGAGGAGAGAGAGCGAGCGAGAAGTAGAGAGAGTTCAGTTGCACATTCCGGTTTAGGCCAGGCATGTCGCTATAACCTTACATGCTCTACATCCTGCCAGGCTGCACGAACTTTGAATACCATATCCGCGCATAAGTTGTTGAAACTCTGATGACGTTATGCTCACTGCACTAAAGCAGCCTACAGGAGATATTGTCATAGCAGGTACCATTGCTTTTGAATTTCTGACAACGAGAAGCAGCTTGTGGAATAGTACTGCTTCTCTGGTTTTGGTCATGTAGAATATTCAAGGTACAAGCACTGTGCACATTCGTTTGGCATGCTTGGCCTTGCCCTTGGATTTGAAGCCAAGCTGTTCTACTTTCTCATTAGTGTGTAGCCAGGAACCTGTAAAAAGGTCGACTTCAGTTTCTGACCTTGGATTGCAGTACAAGCCTACGACCGTAGACTAGAAGAGCGCTGGATGTGAACAGGCATGACGATGTAACATGTCCGAGGCGGGCACTGACTTTCGGATCGTTGGAACAAGCCTGCTCAGTCATTTCTTCTGAGTCCATGTACACCTTACGTCTTCTGTCACGTCCTACAGAAAACCTACTGACCTTTGCACTGTGAAGAGTGCATCGATAAGCAGTTTTACAGATGCTTTCAGGCGAGGAGGAAGTTCTTGCCAGATGATAGTATGTGACGTTTGACCATAGTTGAGTGTCGCTTATCTTGGAGAATAGAAGGCTGTGAAACCTAACTCAGCCTTTGTTTTTGCAGCCATGGAAAACAAGAGGAAATTGCTTGTGCTTTACGCGACGGAGACAGGAAATGCTCAGGATGTGGCGGAGCGTATCGCCCGTGAGGCTGAACGGCGCTATTATGCACCTGTCTTACAGTCAACTGCGTCCTATGAGCCGGTGAGGCCCTCCGAATCGTTCTCTTCTGCAGTTATCTTTCAACTCATCGAGTCCTTGCATGGTTAATAATTTATTTCATGTGAGGACTTCTTCTGATGTGCCTCTAGCGTGAAGGTGAACAACCTCGTGCTAAACCCTTGCAATAGTGTAACATATCCCTTCTAATTTATTCGGTGATACATAGTCGCACGCTGCTGCGGTTTGTAAGTTTTAGTTGTTAGTATTATCTACAGGTGTCGTGCTTCGAATCATGGAGAAATTTGAAGCACCACAGTCTGATTCGAAAGGAGATGTTGTGCTGTTAAACGTTCTGTGCCCTTATTTGTCGTCGTACCTCAGGCACAATGCAGTTTCACTGACTGACAATTATCATCACTGTCTCCAGAGTGCACTACCTTCGGAAGAAAATGTCATTATTGTAGCATCAACATGCGGTCAAGGCGATCCTCCAGCGGCTATGAAGGTGTGAAACTGTGAGATGGTAGCCCTGTTGACCTTTGGGTTTGTGCGATTGGACTAATGTTTACTTTTTACGATTACGGCTGTTTACAACATCGAATATATGCAGGTCTTTTGGAGACAGTTGCTGCGAAAGAGCCTTGGTCAAGACTGGTTGGAAGGAATGCACTATGCTGTTTTCGGACTTGGAGATTCAGGCTATCAAAAGTATAACGTAAGTCGTTTTACTTGACCAACATAACTAGTCCGAGGCGAATCATAAATATGCTGAAAATCTGTGGACATTGCTAAATATTGATTTTTTTGGTACGCGTGTACTGAAAGCTTTGGATCTATTTCGATTGCTTAAGTCAGATCAATATGCCCCAGCAGAACACCTTTCAAACTTTCATTAATTGTTCTGTTTTATCCTTGTTCCTAACCGTATCTTGTGTCCTCAACTTTAAATCTGAAGAAATTTCCTCCGTTTTCAGAAATCTGACTGTAGTTTTGAAGGTTCCATATCGAAGAAAAATTAATGTGAATGACCAATATCTGACACCATCCTTAAAGTCAGAGCAAGAGGACGACATCGGAAGACTGTTATCGGTTATCTAAATTATTCTGGTTCGGAGCAACTATGCAGCTTTTAGCGCGGACATATATTATGGGTGTAAGATGAAGGAGACACATTTGAACTCTAAGACCATCGAATGATGTACACCTTGTATTCAATCGTGTAGTTCTAACATGAGGTGCCGTTGTGAACCATTGCAGTTGGTTGCTAAGAAACTGGACCGTAGGCTGTCTGATCTTGGTGCGAAACCAATCGTTCCGAAAGGTCTCGGTGATGATCAGCATCGTTCGGGGTACGTTCGCACTTAACCTGGAATATCAGTCCAGAGGTACCAAAGCAGCTACACTAGGGATTTCTTAGTTGCAAAGATCTGTTGTTCTACAGGACTGATTAGTTCCTATTTCCTGTGAGACACGCACCAGTATCTTCTGCGTGTATTGTTCTTCGTCGCTCTCGCTCTGTTTGTGTTCGTTGAAGAAAGTATCACAGAAACTGTAAAACTTACATGAAACGATGGTTTTACATTCTTATTCAGGTATGAGGCTGCTCTTGATCCTTGGCTGGCCAATCTCTGGACAGCTTTGAGAGAACGGATTGCTCTTCCATATGGGCTGCAAGATCCTGATAACAACGACATGAGTAGCACACAGTTAGACTGCCCCAAGTTCAGTGTCAAGTTTCATAACTCAGCATCCGCCTCACAGATGGAGTCTTTGACAATTGCCGACATTGATGGTGAGTTTTAACCTCAAGATTCTCGTACAGTGCTGCACATATAGGCGACTATTTGCGTCTAGCATGCACTCGGTCCCCCACTTCGTTGGATAGTCAGTTGGTTCCGGGTGTAAATCAAAGATTACCTTCTTGACCACAACTGCACACTACATAAAAATTCCTGAACTAAACTCACATCAAGCCTAGAATTTTGTCATACAAAAGATTTTTGTTATCACAGATTGCCTTGCATTAGAGGCCGAGTGTCTTGTCCTACCTATATTTCTTTTTGTAGGTTCTTTGTAACCCACTAATCGGCGTTATTATCGCGTGCAATCAGCTACACGAGCTGTACAAGAAAAATGGGTCGACTATCAGAAAGCGCGAGTTATGTTGGAATCTGCTGCTGGAGATGCGCCAACTTCGATGGAGCCTGAGGTTCCCGGTTATGGACCCGATCAGCCAATGTTCGCTAAAATGGTGCGTATTGCGTTCTTGTTTGGATAACTGGTCTTAGCTATGTTAATCAGAATTTCCATAGTCTATGGAAAGTGCCGGCCCAAGCTTGACGAAGTAGACCACTTCCTGGATCGATTCTGCAGTAGAAAGGGTGATATGACAGTCTAAACAAGCATTGTCTATTCAAGCATTTGCTAACTATGTCATCGCTCTTACAGACGGCGAATAAGAGGTTGACAGCAGAAGATCATAGCCAAAATGTTCGGCACTTGGAGTTTGATTTAGGCCCCAATGTAAGTAAATCTGTGATACTCTTTGATTGATAGTTAAAAAAAAAAAAACAGCGTGCTGTTTCTATTGGCGTGGAAGTTGGGTGAGTTAAGCTCACTTAGCTCTGATATCAAATACGTAAATTTACACGTTCTCGTTATGGCACAGGGTGTGAAGTACCATCCAGGGGACATTTTAACACTTATTCCACGTCAAAACCCAGATGATGTAGAGGCGTTTCTCCAACGATTGTCTCTTGATGGTGATTCCTATGTGACGGTAAATAACGTTCACGTAGATCCTACCTTTATGGATCTACTAAAGTAAAGTAGCATGAAGGCTTCCAACCTCTGATCACAGTATTGTTTTCAAAGTAGTTGTCCGCAAATATCTTTCATCTTCCGCATATTCTGTCTTTCATCTGAACTCTGTCCACCTAATTTGACAATCATCTTATGTTTGATCTGTAGGTTGAAGCATCGCAGTCGGAACTTACTTGTAGTTGGAATGATCCTCAATTGCTACAACTGGGCCCTGTGAAGCTGAGAACTCTCGTGGAGGGTGTCTTGGATGTGTCTTCAGCTTCCCCACGTCGTTACTTCTTTGAGGTGAACACTGGATGAACGCGTTTGATTTTCTTTTCTCCCTCTATTTTCAATGTAACGGAAATGTATGCATGATTTATAAGGGAGGTCTTGACTCGGTACTCACGGCGGTCGAATGTACTATTTGTATCGGCAGGTGATGAGCCACTTTGCTGCTGCTGAGCACGAAAAGGAGAGACTGCAATATTTTGCAACTTCAGAGGGTAGGGATGATCTTTATCAATACAATCAAAGAGAACGCCGCTCAGTCTTGGAGGTATGTTTGCCAATTCGGTGTAATGAATGATCCTAGACATCATTCCTGGACAGCCTAGGGTTATCGAAATTCAAGCCTAGAACTACGTATTGCCGCCAAACAATCCTATTCTTTGTGTGAGTTTTATCTTGAACGTCTTCAAGCGACTGTAATGGTACGGAAGTTAAGCTCGTAGAGAATTGATGCTCAGATTTGACGGATGGAAGCCCACCTTTGTATTTTGATTCCCACTGCCATTGATTAGACCTTGATTTTATGGGGTTTGCAGGTCCTCCTTGACTTCCCTTCCGTACAGCTGCCACTAGAGTGGGTGCTTCAGATCGTACCCAGACTGAAGCCCAGATCGTTTTCTATCGCATCGTCTCAAAGGGCTCATCCCCAACAGGCACATCTTACCATGGCGGTTGTCGAGTGGATGACTCCATTCAAGCGGAAAAGGCATGGTTTATGTTCGACATGGTTGGCTCAGTTGGATCCATCCGTAGGTGGGGATTTTTCCTTTGAGCTCTTCTTAGCATATGGCTATCACAGCGTTCAAAGTAGCATTTTCAAACTATTTCATGAATGATTTCAGCCTTTGTACAAGAGTTGAGGATCATTTGACATGATCCTCATGATGTCGTTGAGGGTCGTTGCAAAGCTCTTTCACTCTCCGAAATTGAATGCATGGAAAGGATAAGGTCAGTCCATTAAACCAGGTACGGATTGAGTTCTGACCATTAATCAAAGCTGACAGTCTTCGACATTTTCTTGTGCAGGTGAGGTGTATGTTCCAGTTTGGATCACTCGGGGAGCACTGAAACTGCCCCCTCCGTCAGTACCCCTTATATTAGTAGGACCAGGAACAGGTTGTGCTCCATTTCGATCTTTCGTGGAAGATAGGAATATTTTGTCACAAACTGAACCAGTGGCACCAATACTGTTTTTCTTTGGTTGCCGAAATCAGGCGAAAGATTACTTGTACAAGGATTTCTGGCAGTCATGTACTACGGATCACAAAGTGATGTCCCCAGATAGCGGAGGTGGCCTGCATGTAGCCTTCTCCAGAGATCAAGGACAGAAGGTTTACGTTCAGCACAAAATTAGAGAGAACAGGAAATTGGTCTGGAGGCTGCTGCAATCTGGAGCAGCCATTTTTATCTCTGGGTCAGCAAACAAGATGCCAGCCCAGGTAACATCGGCCTTTGAGGAAATTATAGCAAGCGAGGCTGGAATTTCTCGAGAAGCAGCAATACGGTGGTTAAAGCAGATGGAGCTGAAGGGTAGGTTCAGTGTGGAGGCATGGTCATAATTCAAACACCCTTTTATTAATTCTTTAAGCCTAATAGAGGCTTTTCATTCTTTTGCCCATCCGCCACAGGCATTTTGTTTGTATAGTAGGAAATTTTGAAATAGAACAATAAACGGATCTGATCCAGTAGATAGGTTGGAAAAATTTTTTCTTTGTTCGAACACCATTTCTATGACCTGTAGTTGTGCGACTAACGAGCAAACCCTCACAAGCCTCACTGGCCTTCTCTTGACCATCTTACGCACATCTACGGGTGTATGGACATCATACAGTTTTGATCTTGTTTTCTGGAGTAACCGTAGTTACCACTGCCAGTAGAGTCTTTTGTGATACAAATCAAGTGACAACCCCATCAGAGGGAAGTAGGGAAAACAGTTTGCTTCTGGTACTACTGTACCGCGATGTAATTGTCTTTGCAGAAAAGCAGTAAACATACATAGCTGACCTGGCTGCCTACGTTTGCTCACATGTGGTGAATGCTTGGAGTGTTCTAGAAGCTCGTGAGAAGCACTGGCAATACAAATATGTACTCAGACCCGTGGGAGCTGACGAGGGAAACTTTGATTTCGTATGAGAGGCATTTCTTGCTATCCTAAGCTCTTTTGGGGTACTTCGTTGGGCGGGTCGATGGTGATTCGTGCCAAGAGTAGAGATGTCTGTACTTACCGATATTTCTCGAAGCTTCCAGTTTCAGAGATTACCCACATGCGTTTTGTTTTCTTGTTTTGCAAAATTTCTATCGAATGTGAACTCATCTGTTTTCATTGTCGAGGTCTTGAGGCCGGCCGTGCAAATGCCTTTCTCTGCCTAGCAAATTTATGTCTTCGTTTATCACTTTCATAGATTGAAGACAATTTGACAAGCTGTGATTAAGTGCACAGTTCGCCACTTGTCCACTTGTACACGCGTGCAGTCATTACTGTTGTTTAACTTATTGTTTTGCTTGCAACCTCGTGCGAAACATCATGGAGTACTCTTGGATATAGTTTCATCTTTTATAAGTAAAGAGTCGAAGATAATAACGTGAGAGTGCGAAGAGATACGAAGGCTGATTTATTTCGACCACTTAGAGGCTGAAACGTATCGTGTAATATAACCTACTGAGCTCTACACCTCGTCTAGAAGGTTTTTATTCTCCTACCACGTTGTCAGACTTTCCGACTTATGACCACTAGCAGCAGAAGGCACATCTGGCTTTCTGTACATGAGATTAGCTCCACATGGAAATGACTATCGAAGTGTCACAATATGTAAGAGAACGATCGGTCTGGCTTCGTCGCGCTTGGTTTTGATGTCCACTTCATCCTCGGCTCACTGTAATGCCGGTCTGCACTTTCGGTGAAATTGGCACTTCAGCCACACCCAGTGCGGTCTCAATGTATACCCGAAGGCCAGAGGAGGAGGAGGAGAAAGCAGTCCCTTAGCCCTCGTCAGATCGTAACGAAGTTTTGAATCACCAACTTTCACCATGCCGTAAGGTATCAGCATTATCTTCACGTGGAGACTTTCTTTTGAAATAGGATAATCTTTAAATTCAGTTCCTTTTTGGTTTTGTTTCGTGGAAGCCGCAAAGGTAAATCTCAGCGCCGGTATAGTATCACGGAGGTCGAGGGTCCACCGAGCGCCTAGTTACGAGCATATGACGTGAAGGAGAATTATCTTACACCTGCTTTCACCCTGATGCCAACTGAGCTTTCGCCATTTGCTTGAGTTGTTTGTCTCGGTCGTTGTAACATCCCAGGTATGAAAAGAGAGAAGGCACTGTCTTTGGGCTACTCTCAGTCGCTCCCTGATCAACGAGGAGATCAAACCCTCCCACCTGCGAGTGGTTTTCAGGGCAACGAAACTGATCAGAATTGTTCGTAACCTTCGGTAGGTAAAACCCAATACCAGCTCTAGCTCTTGGTTTTTACAGCTCAGGGTATCAGGCAGTTCTGATTATACGGTGGGCTTTTTCTGCCGCCTCAATCGTACAGTCATTTGCAGTGCAAGTTGGTACCTGCATTGGATATCATTCAATGTCAGGATAGTCCTGTACCTGCAAACTGGTCTGAGTGGGTAGTCGACGCTCCATGTCAACCAGTGTCAAAACATCATCCAGCATCCCATACTTGAGTTCGCGATCTTGAGGGGTATCTGCAGCGAGGCTCGGTGATGCATTTACCTCCAGTAACCATGGCTTGAGTGCCTTGTCCACCAAAATATCGTAGCCGTAAAGTTCAAAGCAGTGCTTGTCCTGAATGATAACGTTTTGCACCGACAATAACGATCGCAGTATGGCTGAGCGGATGTCGTGGAACAGCTCATTCACTTTTGCCTCCCCATGCTTCGTTATCATGTGCATCTTGAGGCTGTGCAAGGACCTTCATTGGTGCCCATGTAGATATATAGTTAACGGTCAGTTACACTTATTTGGCTCATAATACGAATAGTGTCCCCGTGTCATCTTCTAGTTTGACCACTTGTATAAAAGCAAAAACTTTGCAATACATTGTGCGCGACAAAGGAAGCAGTACAGGCACAGCAACAGTTTAGAAACACAAGGATCCGGATTGGGGTAATCAGGGATGTACCATTTTGTTCCAGTCTTGGAATTATACGTTGGGGCGTGCTTTTGGATTGAAAAGTTGGTGAGATGAACTAATTTGTTTGCAATGTCTTCCTTCTTCATGCTGAAATGTGCATTGGTGAACCTTGCAAATCCGGATCTGTACAAGTAAGCCTGCACTCACTTGAATGACTTTCCGAACCTCTAAAAGTCTTTTAGGGTTGAGAAGGAGGTGCCAACAGACGTCAGGCCCCTTCTAGACTCATCCTCGTAAGAAACAGCTCAATGACTGACGCTCATCTGGTTAAACTTTCGACAGTGATCCACCAGGAATATCGGGTGCATTGCACAGGCCTGGGCGAATGAGTGAATACCTTGAGCGGAGCATAAGAGAGAACAAGGACATATATTCGGAGGTCAAACTTCTTGCCTCCAATAAGGTATGGGCTCTCGATATATTTTTGAACGATGTAGTTCTCTACCTGATTCACGACATACAACTATAATTTGTGGTTAATGATTGTAAAGTCCTCCAATACTAGTCGCTTCTAAGCTATGGATCTGCGAATCTGGTGGAAAACCACCGGAGTCCTCATATCCTCATATCCTAAATCAGTAAGCGTGAGTTCACACTTTACTTCAACGAAGATTCAACTGTACTAACCTAGGGAACAGATTACAGCTGACAGCTTGAAGGGTAGAGTATAGTCATCTGCAAGAGCTTGAGACATGATTAGACTGTCTAATCACCTGTGGATTTTCGCTCTTCCAACGATGGTCTTTCTTCCATTCGCTGATCTGGCTCAGTCTAGTGAACAAAAATATGCCTCTTCCTCGTGCCTTGCCTACAGGTTTCATGATCCACACCCCCTTCGACAAACCACCAACCGTGAATAAAAGGCAGGGGGATTCTTTAATTTGTCTGAGTCTTTAGTGATGTTGCAATCTTTGACCGAAACTGAATCATGCCCAACTACCGCCTACTTCATGGGATCCTTTTGGACTCTATTTTAACACATAGGGCCTATACCTAGTTTAGTTGGACAGCCTGCAGTAAATCAGTCGACAGACGCAGGAATGAAACATAGTAAGTAGGAACAAGGGGAGATAGCAGTAACGACCTCAGAACTTACTGGAATTCTCTTAAACTCTTCCACAAACAGTCCATATTCCGCAGGCAAAGCATAGGTCTGTGGAAAGAAGTTGTAACTGGGCACAAAATCCAACAGCAGTTCAATCAGACAAGGTCATCGGGAATTTGGGATTGGTCTCATTCTATACCTTTCTTTGGTAACATTCTGTACGCCGCATGCTGGACTCTATCAAAAGGTCTAGTACCGCTCATAAGAATGCTTAAAGTGTAGCTTTGATAGTTTACATCACTTGGTGTGCTCAAATTACCATAGAGGTCTTCAAGTTCTTACTTGGCAGCTTCCTCTAATTTGTCCTCCTTCTCAAGTGTCTTTTTCATGCGCTTCAGGTTTTTTATCAGAAAATCTTTCCGTGTAAGCTGCTCAGCCAAATTAAACAATTATCTGAGAGATGTAAAAATTGTGGGCCTTGCTTTGATATTTGAAACAACAAATCTCAGAGTGTGTTATGTGCTCAACGTGGGAAGTTCGTTCGTTCATTGTTATCCATGCACGTCGCACCGAAGGATAAAGCAGGTCAAGTTCTCTTTGAATCTAGTCGACCAGATTCCGGTATAAGAGCAATTAATAGTGCTTGTATGGGACCATGCATCTCATTCATTTCCAAATGCTATTCTGAGACTCGCATCCACATGCTTACAGAATATTACCTCGTAGTAGTTTCTGAAGTGGTTGAAACGCTGCACATAAGAACCAAACCAACGGCGATTCATCAGCACTAGAGCAACTTTGATTTAAACAGTAAGCAAGGATAAAAGTGTATGCACAACACGTTTCAATGCAGCACCGGATCATCTGATAGAGTACGATCCCATGAAAATCCGATGACAAATATTCGTATTGGTGTAGTAAGTGCCTGATGGTCAGCGAGATGGATGTGATCAAAGAACTCGTACATCCAACCGACGTCCGACCAGAAGAAATCCCAGTCCAGTTCACTGACAGCAAGGTGAACATTTGCAATGTACGTTAGAAGAGTGCAATCCGAATGCAACGAACGGCACAGAATATTTACTGTACGGTATTACTGAAGTACCGAGGACTGAGGCTGTGTGCATCACAAGGTATACCTTTCAGTCTCAACCCATTGACGAGCTTTCAGCACCTCGTATATTGTGGTGGTCTTCCAAAAGCACCGGAATTTTATGCTGATTATTGGCCATGTGAATGCAAGACGATTGATTAGGAATGGCGCTTAGACTGGACGAAGAAACTACGAACGAAGATTTGAGCATCCATTGTTGAATGGGCTAAGTTTCGAGAGCAGCAAGAATGAAGAAGGATTTCCACTTCACTTATGACTTGGACTACAGACAGTAACAATGTTGTATCTTCTATCTGGATTAGTCAAGAGAGTCTTCTAGTCAACAGAAGGCCGAAACCCAGCAAAATTTAAGTATAAGCCTTACTTGACAGGCTATACTTTTAAGCCTGTCAAATCAGATAAAACGAACAAAACAAAGCGTAAGTGACGAACAAAACATAAGATAACTCAATGTTTTTCTGTCAATATGTTTGGCTGCGGTGGACTTCATAATAGAGGGTTCTCGGGGAAGGAATAGGGCCAGAAGACATATACGGGAGATGTTTTAGCTGCCCGGGCTATTGGCTAGAAGGCTTCTTGCTGAGGAGAACAAATTAGAGCAGGTGACATGAGAAAGACGGCATGTTCTATTGACGATACAACTCAGGAATTAAATGGTTGCTCACGAGTTTTTTGACATCTTAGTTTGCGCCATCTCTCCACCGAATTGGTTGTTGATTAGCCTGTAGCACTTTTGAAATATACTGGTATTTTTCTTCTTCCGAATTTGCCTTGCCACCCTAGCTGACTGTATCTCCACACGACTGCCGCAAGCGTCAACAACGTCAGTACAGCACAAGGTTTCTCTGCTACAAAAGGAGTTTGGTGCAGCAAACTAAGAACTCGAGCACTGGTCAAATACGGGCAATCCACCGCATTAATACAAGTGACCGTTTCCTATCCATGCTTACGCAATTTGTGGACCTTAGTGAGAAGCAGACAAGATTAACCTTGTTCCGATTTGATTGAAAAGAATAATATTTATTTGTGCAATTCTAGATTACAGCAATCGTCTTCCTGAACTCTATTAGCAGTACAGGTCTGTCGTCGATACTAGAGCCAAAATTTCCATACAAGCAAAGAAAGTGATCCAATACGTGAATCTAGCAATTATAGTCTTGAGGCTTGAGACGTTCAGGAATTATTAGGGACAGAAAGGACCTGTGGGGACTGTAAAGCATGAGACTCTTCTGAGATCGTTATCAGTTGACGTGTCGCTTTTGGCGAACTGCAGTTGTTAAGAATGACAGGAAGTGGAAACTGGTGGCGTTTAGAATTTGCTGTCCGTCTTAGTCCGTCTCTCAAGTAGTCAATGATATCTGGTGCTACGACTTTCCGATCACCCCGATCCCCGTGCACAGAGGAACTGTTAAGATGCTCCTCACAATCAACAAATGGTTGCAGTTCAGCGGCATAACTTCCCGGACCGAACTCTGTTGACTGTCAAAGAGGAAGCAGACATGAACAATCATGACTGAATTCCTCAGTTGAGAGGGAGACAGATTGGTTCATTACGATTCGTCAGATCAGCGCCAGCGACTAGTGAGCGACGAGAAACAGCAGTGACCACAGCTCCTATAGCGAACACCAGGCATCAGGAAAATTTGTACAAATCCAGCACTGCAAAATTGAAGTCTGACCTGATGGTAGGTTTCCAATGAAACGTCGAGTTGCTTGAGTAAATCACTTAGGGAAACCTGTGGGCCGATGACACTCAAGTTAATTTGAGACACGACAAAGGTTTCGTCGGTGCTATTGTGCGTGTGAGCGAGATTGGCAACTGAGCTGCTCTGCCGCTGCTCTCGGATCAGAAAGATGCATGACATCAAATACTGTCGATCGATATTCTACTCGCTACGGCATTTGCTAGAAACAACTTTAGGAGTACAGGTAAATCGACATGGCACACGTAATTAACAAGTCTCGCGATCACTGGATTTCAAAGAGGGCGTTCAAGAAGGAGCACAAGTCAGGGTGAAGAGTTGCGACTCGAACCATAACAAACAAGGCACGTTGCCGAGAATGTGAGAACAAGGCCACGAAAGGCTAAAAGAAGCTCTGTTTTCTGGTGGATCAGTGTTTGGTCATGACTCAGCACTGTGGCAGTTGCGTTGTGCTTTCTAGAGGTTTGAGGCCTAATCTCAAACATAGTACTGGCCATTACCATCACTCTCCAAGAGACGTGACAAAACGCGCTCAAGCAGTTGTGAATCCAAAATCTTCTTACAGATTACATCGTCATTTCCACATCCGCGAATGTGTTTGTGCTCAGATGGCTGCGAAATTCCCGTCACGCTCGAACCCACAGAACCCGATACTTCTTGCGACCTCCGCGTAACATTATAGGGTAAAAATTAGTCAATGCGCGAGGTGGAACTCCCTCGCTGAAACTAGAAACAATCGACGGGATTCCTCGAGCAGAATTAGGGAGCACATTAGGGATGGCAAAGGCAGCTGTAGAGCGACCTCAGCGGCCCTCGAGGAACTTCCACTCTCCTTTTCTGCGAGCCATTTTTTACAATTTTACACGATCGTTCTCCTTCAAGGGCACTTTCAACTCAACCGCTCGCAGCTTCGCTCGGTCGATCGATGAGCGACATTCATAGCCCCTCTAATCGAAATCCTCGTCAATTCGTCCATTCGATGTCACCACTCAGCGCACTGACGAGAGACTCGATCGAGCACGAACGATTTCTTCCGGAGACTTCCGCCGCGAATGCCTGGCCTCGGCCTCAGCTCGTCTGGCGCCACGTCACTCTCACATTCCTCGGACCTTAATGAAGGCCCTCACTTCTCATCTCGGTGTCAATGAAATGATTATTTATTATGTATTCTTGTGCCCATTTTATCATTTCTCTTTGATGTGTAAGAATTCATTTATATATGGGATAGTCTGATTGGATATTGATCTACAATATCGCTGCTATAAATTTTTAACGTTTGAACATATTTTAAACGTGAAAGAATTTATTTTTCTGAAACTTTATTCAGTTACCCGATTCCTAGATGTACTTAATGAAATACATAAAAGATCTAGGGGATGGAGTCTTTCCCACGTAACTCGCTTCTCACACACCAACAGCATTTTAGGACAAAATTTGCCGGGTCTATAAGATATTTGACGGGTTGAAAATATATGCGCTTGAGCACCATAAGACCTCTCTATGTGAAGTTAATGTCTTGTTTTATTTTTCGAGATCGGAAAATCAAGATATATCTCATGGCACCTTCGCAAAGGTTGTGAAGGTTTTTCCCTTCGATTATGCCGCTGAATATTTTCACGTAACCGTCGTATGGGATAAGTGCTCCATGTATGTCTAGGATCTGCCTTCAAGCTTTGTTACAGCTTTTACGCACTTGCAATCATTTAAGTCTGTCAAAGGATTAAGCATATCATGTCACAACAAATCGGTGCAAATCATTTCACATTTCAAGACTCAAATACGATACATTTCCAAATTTAGAAACGAGATAATCACTGGAGATAATTTGCTCATGCCTTCAAAACACTCATCGTTCATGACTTGCTAGGCTGAAACTATCGATGATGATGATAATAATAATAAATGATCTGAGGTTCAAACAAACCCCAACAAATCATAGTGTGAATTCATATCTTGCAAATCCACAAAAACATATTGTCTCATCGTCACATGCTTGCCTTAACAATGCACTCTACGCTAGACTCATGCCCTCACCAAATGAATCATTTTGAGTATTCGGACAACTTCAAGAGCACGCGATATTGGTAACCACAAACCGGAGGCCGGGAACACCTTCATACACATTGGACATCGCAGAACTTTCATAATCGCCCTGGAACCTGAAAATATGTCGTTGTGATTTGCAAGATCTACTTTCTCTGAATTTAGTCCATTTTGATCTATTTCTATTTGTGTTATGTGCAATTTACGTACAAACGGTGTTTCTCTCTTTGAGAACGGTTGAAAGCTGGAAAACAAAAGAGCTGGTGATGAAGAATGACTTGTAGTGATGCTCGTTCATAAACTCTGCTGAGGAGAAACAACTTTGTTGATTTTAAACAAGTATATATCTGGAACAAGATTACTAATTTTTCCTTCAATAGACTTACTAAATAGTCAACTCTAGAACCTAAAAAAAAAAAATAACAACTTCTCATCAATCTTTTCTTTGATTTCTACATTCATTGCATCTAAAATATCGATCATCAATGATCATACCATTTTAAATGTGGCAATTTGATTCAAAATGCCACAAATAGCCATCTATAATTTTTATGCCGCGCCATATATAATAAAGTCTACTAGATCGAACAGCTTGACAATCATTCTCATTGTGTTTTACTTCCAATGGCTGGTGCCAAGCGTCCAATAACTTATAAAACAAAGTACGCATTTGAATTTGGTGTCAAAATCTATGAGCGCGATGATGTCTCAAAAGCTGAAATATCAATGTCTTGTCTTTTTTGCATTCACTTTGATCGCGAAGAGTAAATCGGCGCAAAATGAAGTAGCACATTATAAGTTATGTACTTCAAATTGTCCTTTCATGCTGACACGTATCGAAGGCACATGATGTCGCAACATCCAAGGTGTTGCAAATAGCACTATGAGTTGACTCCTACTGAAATAACTATTTTCTTTTATTACTATATTGTGTCTCACTGCAACACTATTTAATCACATTTTTCTCATGCTCAAGTTACTCTTCACTTGTTTGTGAACAAGCCTAATGTTATCATTGGAGAGATGCATTTACATCCGGATGATTCGAACGATGTAATTACAAAGTAGCGTGCTCTTAACATTTTTGAAAATGTGCTCAATGCTGAAGCCGCCGATGACAATGTCAACGTCATCACCGATAGATATCGTATCAACTTGAAAAAATCCAACTTAGTTCAAACTGATTGTTGATTAACTTAGTGTTGGCGTTTACTTTTGAATGGCCTCAATAATTCTTATGATGACGTAGAAGCACATTCGCTTGACCTCTATTGGTTCATCATTTGAAGTTAAGGTGATTAGCTACGCTTGCTTTATTTTTGCGCTAAATCTTCAAATGTTGCTCAAGTTGTTGTCTCAAGTGTGGACTTTTTTGATTGCAATGGATATGTTTACTCACATGGCGAGCTTCTATCTGGACATCTTGCATTGGAAATGTGTCATTTTGAACTTTCATTTGCTGGCGATCACAATGTTCAAGCATAAGGGATTTTTCTACACGCTTGCAAAGCTCTTGATATTCTCGCTCTTCCGTGGAAAGAAATGATCATCTCCATTTGTACTGATGTAGGGCGCAAAATGTTAGGTTGTGTTCATGGATTTGCCACTCGCTTCCAACAAGCTGCTCTTTTGAGCTTCTATTCTCTTTAGTGTGGTTTACACCAACTTGACATCAAGCTTCAAGCTTTCTTCGCGGCTTTGATGCACAAACAGTTATACTCAAATCGCATTGGCTTAATCTTATATTTGAGATGGTAATGAAATTCCATTAATGATATGCAAAACAAGACCAAGACAGTTTCAAACACTTGATGAAAATCTATGACCAAAGTCTCTTGCTGGTTCATCATCATCGCCGATGTTATTACAATTGTCGTTGAACGGGATTGCTTGAACGAAGCTGACTTTAAAATGCCTCCAATGCTTCCCCATTAGCTTGTGATGCTACATGATCAATAGTTTGCTCACATTGTACGAACTTAGGCACCTTGTTTGAAATGTCGATGATCTTCGACTGATGTGGATGTCTTTAAGCAAGAGCTACATACAACCTAACAACAAAAGAGAGCTTTTAAATCAATGATTGATTCGTGTGATCACTAAACCTCATTTGAAAACGGCTAGATTCCAAGGCAAGGGCAATTTTTAAACTTGCATGAGTTTTGTGGTGGACTCGCAACCACATTTCTTGGCACCTCTACTATGAAGAGCGACTTTTCAATTGTAAAGTGAAAGAAGAACAAGAATATGATATCTTTGACGAACTTTTCGCTCGAGTAAATTTTACATGCAAAATAGTTTAGGTCAATGCAAGCCATTAAGTTCAATTAGCAAAATAAATCACTATAAACCATTAATTATCTCCATGTCATCTTTACTTTTCTATCAGGTTTGTATGGGAGCCACAACCAGCCACAAGTAGTTTGTTTGTGGTATACATGACCCACGTCACAACTAGACACTCCAAAGTTATAAAGATTCAACATCTTCAAAAGTAAAAATTGCCACCACTAGTAGTTCAAATTTGAAATGATACATTGACTTCAAAGTTGGAAGAAGTTATTGCTTCTGAAATAGAACACAATCATTGTCTCCAAAGTAGAATAGTGAAAACGCTTATGTATGTCACTTCCGTGACATCATCTCCTCTTCAAGCAATGAGTTCCTCGAGTTATTTTCTTTATCTTCAAAGATACTTAAAATTTATCACAACAAGTTCATGTGATAGTTCTATAACTGTAGCTTGATTTGATATTGGTCTAGATCTATTGGATTCAAATATCTTTGACATTCAATTTTGTCGAGTATTGACGATGATTTTTTTTTAATATTTTGAGAGCTTTAGCAAAGTAGCAACATGCTTTCAAGTGTGTTTGCTTTTGCCAATATACAGATATTCTTATAATTTTTGAGTGATGAGAAAATTCATGATCTTAAAGAGTTCAAATTCTTCTTCTTCATTGAATTCTATTGGTGGCAGAGTTGTTGGTAACCATCCATGATAATCGATTTTGAGAAAAGCATGATATTTGTACACATTCTTGAAGAAAATTTGTGATGTTTTTTTACTTAGTGATAGTCTCTTTGTAAACAACAAAGTGTCTAATGTTTGTAAAACTATTCATAACAATAAAAACCTAATCAAAAAATTTAAACTTTGGAAGATACACAATGAAGTTAATGAATATGAATATTCATGAAGTTTTGGCAATAGTTGGCAATTGAAATGTTTTGTATAATCAATGACAAGGGATCTTGTATCTAAAACATTTGTCATATATTGTGGCATAGTCCTTCACAGTTTTTCACATTTGTGGCCATCAAAAGTCTCTAGGTATTAACTTCATGATCTTATTGAAACCAAAGTCATCCATCGATGAAAAGTTGTGTTGAAAGATTGTAGCAGTAGGAGTCGGCATGGACTTTTAAGAACATAAAATAATCTTTGATACTATAGGAGTACATTTCAAAACTAGAATCTTAAATCATCATCATTTTGAGATCTTTCATGCAATCTAAAAGTACATGAACTAGAAGTAGATTGATTTGGAGATTTCAAATTTTAAAACTTCTCAATTTGAAATTTGAGAGTACAAATTTAAAATCTTTAGGATTGAAGATGCGAGAAATGCAGATATTTGAGAGTACAAACTTAAATTTTTTCACTGCTCTTCAATTTTAAGACCAAAAGACTAAATTTTAAACTTACTCAAATATCTTCAAGAAAAAGTACATCCAACAAAGTTGTGGTTTGCATGTGATTTAGCTGAGTTTGCTCATGGTTATCAAGGTTAGTTTTGTGCTAGTAGTAAGTTGTGATTATTTCTTTAGGTGCAATTTACGTTTGTCTGGATATAGTGTCAAATCAAATTTGATGTAATTCGGAAGGTTGATCATGACAAAGCTGAAACACAAAAGCTATATACTCTTACGAAACTTGTTGTCAATTAAATTCTTGTCGCACATGAAATAGTCAAAGTTCTTATAATTAGATCTTGAACTTCTTCAAAGAAAAAACTTTTTCTACT